TATGGCATTCACTTTTGAGGTCTCTTTCAAAAAGACATGCAACTTTCACTTCAATAGTGTGGAGTGCTTGTAAAGGAACAGTTGCTACCTAATTTTCATTGGCTTGGGTTTGTCACGACCAGGGCAAGAATCCACTTTTTGACTACAAAGCAAGTAATCTATTGATTCAGCTACCATGGCAGTTCTAACCAATATGGATCAGTGTAGGAGTTTTGATAAAAATATCTTGAATAACTTCTTTAAAAAACAGTATTAAGCAGAAATAATGAGGTCAAGGTCATAGGGAAGGTCAAGATAAGGAAATTATGATACAGTATAATAACTCTTACCAATAAGTATATGTTTATGAATTTTGATAAAATATCTTGAACAATTTCTTTGAAACTGAGCTGAAGGACTGACAGACGGAAGATGGACATGACAAACACCATATGCCTTTGCCCTATTACTACTGGGCATAAAAATGTTGCATTGAGTGAACTCCAATTCAAAAATAAATACAGTGAATGTTTTTGTTCATACAAATATTGAAGAATGAAATATTAGTAGACAATCTGCATTTAATGCAAAACATCACTCTTTCCAAAATCACCATGAACACTCAATATTTTGTGTCATTAACTTAACTAAAAGCATACAAATAAAGCAATCCTTTCTCGCTAAGCGACCATGCCACTGTCTAAAGAACCACCACTCCTGCTTTCTTTACTCCAAATTGTAATGACACTTCAGATGCCAGTTAGGAAAAAACAAATTAACATTCACTGTAACAATTATAATGTATGCCATATATTACAACGCAAAAATCACTTTATCAAATCTTTAAGTTTATGATTCATAATAAAATATTTCACTCTTCTGCAAAGAGACAGATGACCATTTATAACATACAGTTGTTACATATATGTTGAGTATATATATGCATGTTTTACAGTGGCTCCCACAATATGGGGAAAAGAGTTATGTGATAAAATATGCACTCCCTACATGTATCTGAAGATAGAAGTAAGAACATTCATTTCTGCTGGCAAAACCAAATACCAGGCTGAGCAAATTTTGAATTTATGTAACAAGTTTCTTCTACATTACACAGTAGAACTGAACACATTCTTTACAGAGTAAACAGTTGGACTTTTCCTTGTTTATACCGTACCTCAATATACACTCATACACAGCTTAAATATTCATATACAACTTAAAAAAGATAATAAAAGTATAAGACTGTGAAAATAAAACAACAAAAATCAAAACAACAGAAAAGTTGTCACAAAGGGATGACAGTAAAAAGAAATATTGCACCACGTACGATAAGGAATAAATAATAAAGCAATTATCTGACTAGTTCACATCAACTGGAAAAACAGAATTGAATTCACCAATCTAAGTTCCTCTTGGCTTCTCGATACAAAACATGATCGAACTTTGGACAAAATACATTTCCCAGTTTCTGACTATCAAACAAAAATCAAGATGTAAAACACAAAAACATGGCTACTCAAGATTTTCTATTAAATCCCACTTAGAGTTTTTTCTCTTCTACAATGCAATTAATGAATGTTAACTTGTGCAAGTTAAGGTTAGAAATGGGCAATGAAAAGTAAGAACTTTTAAAAAACAACAAATGGCTGCTACCATATACAATTCTATTTGTGAGTTGTTTACTAGAAACTGACTGTACCTGACACAAATATGGGATAAAACATACAATTTTCCTCTGTATTATTGCCTTTGCTGTACAATCAGTCAGTTATACAACTTGAAAATGTCAATAACATTCCTTGCACCAAATATATGTATTGAAATTGCTTACTCCAGTTGACATCAATTGCTGGTGTGTGTGATGTCATCAAAGGCATACACAATACAATTTTCGTAAAGTTGACCGTAAAGAAATTGTGTGTAACCAATATGATTCCTTCACGATGGACTGACAAGCAATTAAATTCAAAAATATCAATTTCAATCACTGTATTATTTGGTTGCTGTTTGCAAATTACAATATAATTGACTTTCACTTACATGCAGACATAAAACAAATCTGGTATCCATTTCTTACTGAATAAGTTAGAGCAAGTCAAAAGATATTTGAATTTTAATTCAAAGGCACTGAAGAAGAAGCTTGGCTTTTCTTTACAAAAATTGTGTATCTTTTTATAAATCAATTACGACAGTGCCTCTTTGGTTTTATGTATGTAGTTTCAACAATTGCAGTAATAATTGTGACATGCTTTGATCTTGTTCATTTTCCTCTTCGATGTTGAGGATAGATGCTTCAAGATTTAAGTGATTGAAAAATGAGTGGACTTTATTTGTAATGAATGACCTCTTACGAATCCATACTTCCAGACATGCTGCTAATAGAATCAGGTAAGGTTTCCCAATTAAAATGGTTGTGATTAGTGATTAGACAACACCCACTTGTATTCTTTTCTTTTGTATAGAATAATTGAAAATAATAATACAAATACACATAACGACAGGGAAAGACATTAACTTTCAGATTCACTTGCCCTTCGGGCAAGTGATCTAAGACTTTGACTTGTCCGAATGCTAAGCTTGGTTACCCAAAATCAGGAAAGAACTTAAGAAAAAAATTAATTTCTGTAGACGTTATGATAAGAAAAAATGTGACCAAATTCACTACTGTCAATTTGGCTTGAGCTACCTGAAAAAATTTCGGTGCTGCATTTGCACATAAATGTATACCGCTGTACTTGTAAATTTAACCTGTTGACACACACTGCCATGCAGGAATAACCCTCCCTTTCCTTTTAATAAAATTCATATTTTTAAAAATTATTTTCAGTAGGATCCTTTTGTGATTCATGATTTTCAGAGATAACTGTGAAGCAATGCTTAAGGAAGATAGTTGCTACGAAACATACATCTTATCTTGATCAGGATACATCGTGTTACACTGTACTTAATATAATATACTCTGTGTATGAATAAATAATCTAATTTCCTAATAAGAAGTTAACAAAGTCTTGTTAGACGTAGAGCATATTTACTACAAAAGAAAATAACGAATCCGATTTTTAAATGAACGGTACAATCCAGAAACACTACCAGGAAATTTCAAATGCAAAAACAATGTCAGTCAGGTGTGTGACGGAAATTAACTGTTCATTTTATTGTTTTATTCATAAATTAATGTAAACTAATTAAATATGTGCATTAAAATGAATGAGAAAAATTTACTTGCCCGATCGGACAAGTACGTCGACAATTTCACTTGCCCGAACTGAGAATTTACTTGTCCCGGGCAATCGGACAACCGTTAATGTCGATCCCTGAACCACATTTTGCAAGTTATATTCATTTATATAAACAACACTCCACTATTCAACTTTACATTGAGCCATTATAATGTTGGGGTGGGGGGTTGGACTGTAAATGTGCTGATTAATGTTTTTCAATCTTGGGCCTCATTTAGTTGACAATGATTCCCTAATGGCAAACTGCAGCTGCATGTCTCCAAATAAGGTTGATGAAAAGCATCACTTTTCTAATATTTTAATTACTAGTGATATTTGCTATTTGTGTGTGTGTGTGTGGGGGGGGGGGGGTAGACAAATATTCAGGAGGTATACTTTAGTTAACCCAAATTCATTTTTTGGTAATAATTCACTTAGTTAACACAATGGTTTCCATCTCTCATCAGAAATATTAGTTGTACAAATTAGTCCTGCTCTTTCCACCATGTGAAACATACAAAAATGATACATCTCAACTATAACTATGGTACTGCAATCGTTGAAACCTCAAAGCACAAGTGGCACTATGGTAAAAGCTAGCAGACTGCAGCTGCACTTTTTCATATCAAGTCAATGATTACATATCATTTTTTTTTCACTATTAATACTAGTATATGACAGAAAAATATTCACAAAGCTCTTCAGATTTAACCTAAAAATTTGTACTCAATGCACTATTTTGGTATTATTCACTTAGCAAAAACAATACATGTATATGTGGTGTCCAATCGCTTATCAAAAATATCAATTGTGCAAATAAGTCCCACCCATTCATACATGAACCAAACATCAGAGAGTGAAACATACACGAATTAAATGTAACAACTATTGCAGCAATCATTTAAACTTAAATGACATATTACCTGAGCTCAGTGTAAAAAAAATATATATGCTTGAATCAAAAAAAAAAAAATCCTAAATCATTATTATTTGTTCTGAAATAAGAGATTTATGTTGTTTTAGAGAATAAAAAGAAATGTTACATTCTTCACTTAACAAAGCATACTCTTGAGGTAGAAAAGGGGGAATATTTAATGGGAATGATACCAATTTTACACCGCAAGCATAAATAGTCATGTCAAACAGTTTTACTGTGTATATTGACGAAAATAAAAGGGATGAAGTGAATATAACTTTCAATTGAGCAATCACTGACTAAGTCTAAAAGCTTTTCATAAAAGAGTAGCTATATATACTAATCCCTAATATATCATTACATTAACAAGCACACAAACAAATAGGAACGAATCACTGATCCCCAAAACAACAGCATACAAAATATTTAAGACTAGAAACGTATATCTGCAGCAAAATAAAAAGCACCATCACAATATAAAATATAACTTCATTTGCCATTAACACTGCACAATGTGATCAAGCACCTCTATGTGTAACTAGAGGCATTACCCACTTTTTATGAAGTACCTATTCATGTTTACATGTAGAAATCTAAATTTTTTTAAACACACAGGTACCCCTGAGCAAAGTTGCACAGCAACACTGGAAATATCTAGCAATGCTAGTACATGTGCCTACATTACAAGGATTTTAAAGAATTTTTTTAAAAAAGAAATATTTTGGGAACAACTATTTGTTTCCGTGTAAAACTATGTTTTAAATAATATATCTTTCACAGTTAAATGATTGCTTTCTTGCACAATGAGAATATCAAGAATGCAATCAAATACAGATTTTATGACCAGTATTCTGATCAGAAAAAAAACTTAATTTAAATAAATATATTTAAACATTGTAGCTACATGTCTAATTAAGTTCTTAAAGAAAAAAAAAATTCATTTCTAACTCAATACAACTGTTACATCAAAATTTTGTCCCCAAACATTCAATTCTTCATTCTGAGTCTATGGATGGAGAAAAAAAATAAAGGAAATATTCATGTAGATTCCACCTAATGTAGATATAGAAACCTATCTGAGAGAGTCCCTGGCTTTAAAAGTTGTTCATAATTTTCCTGATCACTGCCTCCTTTACTCTGCACCTTATGTTGAAGTTTTCTTAAGAGCTCTGATGCTGGAGTATTAAGTGCAAATCCAGAGGAGTTGTACAGACCCCCAAGACTAGCAAGGCCAGGTCCTCCTGGGAGATAGGGAGCTATCCATCCAGAGCCTCCTACACTTGTCTTCTTACTCCCTTCCTTTTCTTCTTTGGAATCCTGCTTTTTAGATTCCTTTTTCTCCGAGCTTGTTTTGCTATGTTCTGTTGACTTCTTTGTGTTGCTGGATACTGGACCTTGTTCTGCCTCCCTCTGCTCTCTTTGCTCCTTGATTTTCTTCTGCCTTAGAAGATGTCTCTCTTTGACCTTGTACTCCAGTGTAGAATGGGGAACTCCATAGTAACTCCCTGCTCGATGTACACTCATCTCTCCTCTCTGTACTGCTTTAACTGCCTCCATTAACAACTGGCTGTTGTACTTTCTGTACTGACCCCGTTTTGGCCGTGTTTTCTTTGTTGGACTGTCAATGGATTTTTTCTTGTCTCCATCCTCATGGCGACTTTTCTTGGCCGGTGACGGGGAGTTGACTTGAGAGAAGTCATCAGACTCCATGCTCCTGGCCAAACCCTGGCATAACTCGGAAAGAGCCTGAGACTTGAACTTAACTTTCTCTGAGATTGTCTTCACAATAATGTCTTTCAATGTCTCTCCAACAGCTGCATTTTCAATCTTATCTAGAGAACTCTGGAAATGATTATCAACCTTACTCTCCAGTTTATTGTGCATTGGCTGAAAGGACGGTATAATAATATCTGATGAGCTCTCCGAGGAATAGACATCCAAGTTTCCATTTCTTGAAGACATTCTTGGAGACAATATTTTCTTCCCATTAAACTCCTCTTGCTTACGAACTCTAAGAGCATTACGCTCCATTTCTATTCTTTCCTCTGCCAATTTTTTAATAATGGTTCTCAAGATTGGAAGTTTTAGTTCATGAGAGTGTTGAGCAAGAAAGTTCTCCTTTTTACGACTTAAATTATGCTTCTTACGAAGATATTCCAGTTTTTTCTCCTGCGATTCATAGTGATTTTCTAATTCAGCTCCCCAGTCTATAGCATAAGGCATAGGAAATGGCAGTAAAGCTATGCTGGCCCCAGGTATTAAATCTGTCCACTTCACTGTCAATTCTGTTTGTTCCTCCACTTCAGCTTGCTTTAGGAGAATAAGATAACAGTTAATCATTAAAATAATTAACATACTCTGTAGCTTTAATTTCACTGATCTTTATTTGAAAAATCTGTTTATACTCAATTTTGAATTTCTGTCCCTTTAACTACTCTTTCATTTCTTTTTTTTTTTACAGCATATCCCTAATATGTTTTGGTAAAACATGTTCAGAAATTGATTTACAAGTACTTACATGAATTGCTGAGTCCTGTTTATCAACTCCCATCTTGAAAATTTTGTTGCGGAGTGTTGATCTTGGAATTCCATACAAAACAGATGCTCGTCGTGTTCCGAGTTTTCCACTCTGAATCTCTGACACAGCAGCCAGCAGCTCCTCGTCTGTGTAGGATTTCTTACAATTGGTGTTTGTTGACTCTCTCTTCTTGGGTATACTAGAACTATCAAATCACATGACCATTAACATCTGTATGAACCTCTGATAGCCCAAAGAATATTTAACAAGAATTTACAGTTTTGACAATAACAGATGTATATAGCAGCATTTTAATGTCAAATTTGATCATAGCAGCATTTCAAATGTCAAATTTGAGGTCCAATTCAGAAAAGTTGCAAATCTTTTCATTTATTAAAGTAACAAGAATAACTAATGATGAATGAGTTATTACCAAGTGGGGGCCACAATATGAGGTATTTTCAGTTCTATGGGGTCCTGTGCATTACTGCCTGCTGTCTCTGTCTCAGTGTTATCCAAAGACTGAGTAGTGGTGGATCTAAGTTCTGCCAGTAGCTCTCTCCCCACACTGTCTGTATAGAACTGGGGGCAGTAAGGGAGTAACTCTTGAAGATACCTAAAGCCTAAAAAGAAAAAAAAATATTGTAAAATTGTTAACACAGTATACAATCATGTACAATGTACAGTTTGTACATACACCTTGTCATAAACGGGGTTTAATTTTATCTTGGAATAAATATATGTCTCAGAATTTAACAAATCTTTGGTAATTGATGTAGAAGACATCTGTAGATTGTAAACACAGATTTTCAATTAAAAATTGCTGTAGAAACCTTTTCTAAAACACTTAGAAATGATCAAATCATGATGAACTCTGTCTTTTCTTTTATAAATGAATTATGGCCCAAGGGCCATGAATTTCAGAATTTTGGAAGATGCATCCTTGCTCATCAAAATCATGCACTTAGTTTGCTTCATACACAGGGGTAGAGAAGTTTTTCAAAGAATCTGTTCATTTTCACTATATGATCAACAGAGCCCCACTGTAATTCTGGAGCCAGGAATTTCATTACCGGTACTTTAAATTGGTAGAGGACTCAAAGCTTATTACACTCATGTTAAAGGTTTGACCGCTTGATGTCCATGAGTAAAGAACAAGATTTTTAAAGATTGTAATAATTTTTTATTGTTTTAGCCTCATCCCTCAGACCCTGGGGGGATAGGGACCATGATATTCATATTTTTTCCCCTTTACCCATAGATGCTTTATGCTAAAATTGGTTGAAATTGGTTCAGCCATTCCAGAAAAGAAGCTGAAAATGTTCAAAAGTTTACAAATGACACAGGATGACAGATGAAAACAGATAGTAATAGGTCACATGAGAGACTCTGGTGACGTAACGATGAAAAGAACAAGAAGCCCAATTAAGGGCCTAAATCGATCTAATAAATTGTACAACCCTATCACTTCCATTCTAGACCACTTACTATCCTAAATATTTAGATTTAACGTAAATTCCAAAAGTAGGTCACCATGATGTTTTGAAGTTTGATGATTCTAAGCCTCTTATTATCACTCAATTGACCTAAGATGCATTGACTGACAAAATTTGATGATTTTAAGCCTCTTATTATCCTAAACATTGAGATGAAAATGTGAATTTCCAAAAATAGGTCATAAGGACCTAATTTTTGGTTGAAATACTCCAAGAACCCAAGATGCATCAACTGACAAAATATGATCATTCTAAGCCTCTTATTATCTGAAATATTTAGATACTGTTATAGCTATGAAATTCCAAAAGTAGTTCACCATGACCTGATTTTGATTAATATACTCCACAGACCCAAGATGCATCCATTGACAATATTTTATGATTCTAAGCCTCTTATTAGTTGAAATATTCAGATATAGCAGGTCACAGTGACTTACTTTTTGGTTGTCATAATACAAGAACCCAAGTGAGTCAACTTACAAAGTTTGATGATAATAAGCCTCAAGGTACCCTTAATACTGGGATACAACTATGAAATTCCAAAAGTTGGTCACTATAACCTACCTTCTAGTTAACACAGTCCATTGACCTAAGATGCATTAACTGACAGAATTTGATGATATAAAGCCTCTTATTATCCTAAATATTGAAATAAAAGTGTAAAATTCCAAAAATTGGTCATGGTAACCTACTTTTTGGTTAAAATACTACAAGGACCCAAGATACATAAACTGACAAAGTTTGATGATTTCTTGCTTCTTAGCACCCTGAATATTAAGATACAACTCTGAAATTCCAAAAGTAGGTTATGGTGACCTACTTTTTGGTTGACACACCAAGGACCCAAGATGTATCAACTAAGTTTGATGACTCTTAGCCAATTAATATCTGAAATATTTAAATACAGCCATGAAATTCCAAAAGTAGGTCAATGTGACCTTCTTTTTGGTTGACACACTCAGAGGACTCAAGATGCATCAACTGACAAAGTTTGATGATTCTGAGCCAATTAGTATCTGAAATATTTAAATATACCATTAAATTCCAAAAGTAGGCAGCTATGACCTACTATTTGGTTGATAGGTTTGAGGCCTTAGGATGCATCAACTGACAAGGTTTGTAGGTCCTATGTTTCCAAGTGTCCAAAATATATATGCATATAAAACAGTTTGAAAATAAATACCTGCAACCTGCAAAATTCAAAAGTAAGTTACTGTGACCTACTTTTTCATAAATACTGTATGTTTCAAAGCCTCAAGATGCATCAACTTCCACAGTTTGATGATTCTAAACCTCTTGGTATCCGAAATAATGAACTAAAATCTTATGAAAATGATTAGCCATAAAAAATTCCGAAAGTAGATCACAGTGACCTACATTTTAGTAGACGAATTTTATGGTCTTTTGATGCAGTAACTAACAAGTTTTGATGATCATAGGCTTCAATGTGTCTAAGATATGCACCAAATCAATTTGAAAATGAATAGCTGCAAAATTCAAAATATAGGCCACTGTGACCTACTTTTAAGTCAACATGATATGAGGTCCTAAGATACATCAACTGACAAGATTTGATAATCCTAGTCCTTAAAGTGGGCAAAATATCAAAGTTTTAACAAAACATAATTTTAGGTCAAATTTGCAGTGACCTTGAGACCACACACTTTGCCCTTGGGTGATGCCTTGAACAATTTTTAATCTCTATATATCCTCATCCTTATGCATAAGTTTGGTGATAATTTACCCAGTGCTTCTTGAGAAGAAGAGTTTTAGCAACCACTACTTTCATTTTTAATTTCCCTAATTATCTCCCCTAGTTTAAGGGTCAAATTCATATTTTTAATTTAAATGAAAGCCCTTGTGCCAAGGATACTCTGTGAAAAATTTGACAAAAATTGGCCAATGAGTTCTTGAGATATGGCCCACATTCCAAAAACTTGACGCACACCACACAAATGGCCATAACATTAGTTCTTTGAGCCTTTGGCTCAGAAGAGCTAATAATGATAGTAATGTTGACTTTTTTATTCATAAACCCCAAATCTGTGTCCTAAATAGGGTTGGATACTGTTAAAGATGAAATGGTATGATACTATACTGCTATTTTTGAGGGTTGGATACTGTTAAAGATGAAATGGTATGATACTATACTGCTATTTTTGAAATGATACTGTGCTTTTTAATGATACCTCAATATATCAATAATTTCTTTAAATAAGAAATCTACAAATTTAGAAAAAAACAATGATGTACAATTTAATTGGATTCACAAACAGCAATAAGATTGACAGAAACAGCTTCTCGAGGTTGCCCAGTCCAATGTTTCATAAAACTAATAGACAACACTATACAGTGTATAGTGCAGAAGGGGGTAATCATTTTCACTTTTTAGCATTCTAGTTCTTGATTTATACAAAATAAGTAATTGTTTCTGAAAGCAAAACAGAATAAACAATTCCAATGTACACTTTATTGAAAATAGTAATTGGCATTTATTAAAGTAAGGTCCAGTCTGCCTCATTTCATTAATCAGCATAACCTAACAGATAACATACAACACATCTTTGAAAAAATTCAGTCTCCTTGAATTAAATCAAATAAAGAAGGGGATTAAATACTGATACTGATATTGGTACCAGTATGAACTGAAACAGTATTTTCTGGATACTTTGAAGCAACTATTTGGTTTGGTACTGATAGAGAGTATCGATGTCAAACTCTAGTCCTGAAAGTCTAACTTACCTGGATTATCTTGTAGACTTTTGCCATCTTTTGCCTCTTTCATAAGCTGGGATACTGCCTCCTACAATACATAAAATTTGGTGTAACATGTCAGACAAACCAAATTTCAGTATTTTTCCATTTCAAACCTGCTAAGACAACTAAAAGTTACACTCTTTAACCAAAGAAGAACTTGTTGCATTCAATAAATTCATGCAGTTGACCCTCTTTTTTTTTGCTTTTAATATTTAGATGCATGAGAAGTTTAAGAGTATATATATATATTTTCTTTTATTAATTAAGAAATTATTTATAAGCTATAGAAGTTCTCTGGTAAATAAACTTGGAGTCATATGATCAAATCCTGTCAAGCCAAAAAGGCCTAAATTACTTTTTAAACTTGTTATTTATTATCTATATTCATATTGGAGTTGATCAGTTGTTCTGCTGGGAGGAACACATTACTGTGACATTGCAAGAATTTACAACTCATTAGGCCAGATAAATTAAATCTTAGATTCTCATCCAATTCTGCTTCTCTCAAAGTGTTTCGCCCCATTGTTTTTTTTATTTTAGATTCTAGTGATCAAAAGAAATTATTCTGTTTTACTACATACATGTAAAAACAAATGACATCAATCACAGGGACAGAATTAAAGATACCCCTTGATTGTATACTTTGATGAAAGCAAGGGGACATTAAATCTCATTCATCTGTCATTTTGTCAAAAAAACTTTAACCTAAGTCATAACTTTTGAATGAGAAAAGCTTAGGCTTTCATATTTCACAGGTACATTACCTGTGACAAGACCTTTCCAAATATACTTTGACTTTTGACTCCTGACCTTGAAGTTTGACCTAATTTTCAAAAATTCTAACATTGATTATAACTTTTGAATGAGAGAAGGTAGGATATTCATTTTTGACAAGTGCATTACCCGAGTCAAGACATTTTCAAACATGCTATGATTTTTGATCCTGTGACCCTGACCTTGAAGTTTCACCAAATTTTCAAAAATTTTAACTTAACTTTTACATTGTTCATACATTTTGAATGAGAAGAGAAAGGGCATTCAAATTTCATGTGTACTTTACCTGAGACAAAACCCTTCAAAATATACTCTGATTTTTTACCCTGTGACCTTGACTTTGAAGTTTAACCTAATTTTCAAAAAAAATAACATTGATTATAACTTTTGAATAAGAAAAGATAAGGTATTCATATTTTGACATGTGCATTACCTGTGATGTTTCCAAACATGCTATGATGTTTGACCCCTGACCTTGACCTTAAAGTTTAACCTAATTTTCAAAAATTTTAACATTGGTGATAACTTTTGAATGAGAGAAGATAGAGTGTTCATATTTGACAAGTGCATTACCTGTGACATTTCCCAATGTGCTATGATATCTAACCCAGTGACCTTGACCTTCAAGTTTGACCAAATTTTCAAAAATTTTATCATTGCTGATAACTTCTGAGGGAGAGAAGATAGGGCATTCATAATTGACATGTGCATTAACTGTGACAAGAGATTTCCAAATGTACTATGATTTTTAACTCCATGACCTTTGTCTTGAAGTTTAACCTAATTATCAAAAATTTTAATATTACTTATAACTTTTGAATGAGAGAAGAAAAAGAATTTATATTAGACATGTGCATTACAATATGCCATAAATGTCATAAATAATTGCTTCCTGACAATTCTTTGTTACACCTAATTGTAAATCACAAATTTAATTCTTTTTCATCTTGTTCATTATAAATTATATAATTTCTTATTGTAAGGAAGTATTTGGTCAAAGTTTTATTGAAAATGCCTTTTTTTAGTCTAGTGGAGGCACTTGGTCAAAGTGACAGAGTGCTATGGTATGATCACTTGATGCTCAACACTATAAAATATTATTACTTAAGAATCTGAAAGTAAATAAACTGGTCTTACTGAAATATAATACATAAATGTAAAATTCAAATTTATCTGCTCACAAAGAGGTTCTGTAGGCGAGATTCACAGAAGAAACATGTCTGCTCCTGCTTCCAGTCCTGTGTTATTCCAGCCTCTAGACCTAGGTAAAGTTAAAAGCAATTTACAGACTGATGATTTATTTATGCCATGATCAAATCAGGATCTTAAAAAATGAAAATTGAATGCCCGGTAACACCTTTCAAGAGCATTGCCTCATATCTTTTACGTTATAAATTTTGGTGACAATTGCAGATTTCCAAATAACCATACAAATGATACAGTTATGTTTCACATGTCCTATACAATATCACTATGGAAAAAAGCAGGAAAAAAACAAAAACTAACTCATTCTGTAGACGTTTACTGCCTTGATTCATTTTCGTTATAAATGAAAATAAAATAACATTGTTAGGTTCAAAAGCACTGAAATTCAAAAATCACACAAAAGAAATTTCAATTTATATTTTCAGCCTATACTCATGTAAAATATTCATTTCTTGTTCTTTATGGATTGGTGCAAAATCAAACTGATTCAGAGCAAATATCTTACAATTAAATGGTAACAAAAGTTCTGTAATGTTCTTTTTTCCACCAAACTCTTCTGCAATTCTTTCCAGCCCTGTTAGAACAGATAAGTATGTTAAACAGCTACTGTAAATCATTGTTCATTTGTGAGAACTTTATTTTCACATAATTACGCTAGTCTGCTCGTGAAAATAATAATATACTCACATATAATTATAATATTAAGGATTATATATAACAATAGCCACAGCTTGTGGAAAGAACAAGGTACGGTTTCAATACAAATCTTGCCCTGTATTTTTCTTTAAAATAAAAGTGATGTAAAAAATTAAAACTCATGCTTTTTGAATTATTGAAATTCCATGCAGAAAGATCATACAAATCTTTTTTCTCACATGACCTTCCAAATGCTAATTGTGACGTCATAAACTTGTGCGTTTTCCCGTATTTTCTTAAAAAGTTGCAGAAGACACCAATTTTCAATGGAATTTTCTTTCAGATAATATTGTCCACAGGCATCGCCCACAAAGATTTTGAGATATGTGATTTTTCAAAGAATTTTACACAACATATCTAAAAATTAACGTGGGCGACGGCTGTGGACACTATTTTCTTAAGGTAAATAACCCTTGAAATGGGTCATTTTGAGGCTCTTTCTGTTTAAAATAGAGAAATGCGTCAAATTAATGACGTCATATATCCAGAATGGTACTCCATCATGCTATATTGTTTCCTGATTTATTACAGTCATATACTCAACTAATATTTAAGCCAGTTTCAAAACTTTTTGAAAACATTAAATTTTTAGGGCACAATAAAGCTAAAACCATACCTTCTTCTTTTCTCTCACTTCTAAATACCAAATAGCTATCTCATGTAAATAAGGTACGTGTCACTAAAATATACTGATCTATATGAAAGAGTAATATTGTTTTGATGCCTTAAAACTTTGTTCTAATTAAAATCGAAAAGTAAACAATTTTTTACTAAAGAAATATAAATATAAGCTACTGTAAAAGGCAGTTGTAATTTTTTGCACTACTGACTTAAGGTTATGGTTATTTTAAAGAAAAGGCCCATGGACCACAATGCTCACCTGGGAAACCTTGGCCTTGCTGTTCCTAAACTATTAAAACGAGCCATCAACTTCTCAATAGAGAATAAGCCTGGTAGTGTGCATTCTTAGATGTATCATCCATGCAAGTTTGGTCAACATAGGGCTTATAGTTACTTAAAAATGAGACCTGCACCAAAATCTTTAACCTGTTCACTCATCCAGAAAAAATAGGTCAGATCCAGCATCCGAAGCAAGCCTGATAGTGTGCATCCTTAGATGTATCATCCATGCAAGTTTGGTCAACATAGGGCTTATAGTTACTTGGAAATGAGACCTGCATCAAAAACTTTAACCTGTTCACTCATCCGCAAAATGTAGGTCAGATCCAGCATCCAAAGCAAGTCTGGTAGTGTGCATCCTTAGATTATCGTCCATGCAAATTTGGTCAACATAGGGCTTATAGTTAATTGGAAATGAGACCTGCACCAAAAATTTTAACCTGCTCCTAAAACATTAACCTGGTCATTCCTTAGCTGAAATTGCAGCATCTGAAACCTTGACTGGTACAATGAAACACACTAGAAGCATCTTCCATGCATCTCTGATTTATGTAGGGCATAGAAGTACTTAAAAAGAAAACTGCTCCAAAAACTTTCAGGAGGCTGGGGAGTCAACAAATTAACCATCAGATATAACTTATTTTTTTTAGATATGATATCTTAAGCTGTCAACTATCATTTGGCAAAGAAAAAATTCATACATTTTAGTTTTAAAATTTTATCATTTTTGTATATCTGTATATGGAGCTCTTCTTCTAAAGGAGATCAATATAGTCTAAAAATGGCCACGACCACCCAGCCCTCTTAAGCTGGGACGCCGACGCTGAGGGTATCACATAAGCTCCCCCCAACTTCACTGTGGTGAGCTAATCAATAATGCAGCATCTGGAGCATGTGCAAGCATGTGCCATCCAAGTAAGACAATCTGTCACAGTTATATAGACTTACATCCACTGGAAAATGACCTTCTCCAACAATTTAAGGTTCATAGACTCCCTAATAAGAGGGATAATGCTCACTGAGATAAACTGCTATTAAGTAGTTAAGTCCTACATAAAATTTTCAAGTTAAAAGGCCATTTTGCAATAAAGCAAAATTTTATATGAGTGAACAAGGGATAATGTACCTTAAACTTGATAATCAATCTGTAAAATATAGGTCACAATTAAGCTATGTATTAAGGTTTCATATGGAATCACCACTCTTATCTGAACCCTAAGCAGAGATCAAAACTTCAATCTTCTTTACACCTACATGACAATTAAGGCCTATTTTATCCAAAATATTTTTTTCTTATTACTTAAAGTGGAGCAGGAGTTACAACTGCAAGATTAATTTTTAAACCACATTTGCTGGGGATCTTTGGGACCAAATAAAAATTCTAAAACTCCATCAAATACCTGGTCCAACCTTAAAAAAGTGTTTGGAATTGCTGCCTGAGGGATTTCAGGCCCAGTAGGGACTGAATTTTTTTTTTTTCAAAATTGAAGTTATATTAAAAACTGTTGATAAAAAACTCAATAGACAATGAACACATTATTTTCTTACTTTTGTAAAAGGTATCCCCCATCAACCAAGAACCCAGTTATTGCTTAGATTCAGTGCTAATTAAATATTTGGGTGGCTCATCTAATAACAGGCCAAGAAGTGATTAAAGAAAAAAAATCTTATTATTTTTGTTCAGAAACTTTTTTTTTCTGGAGGCGTCATTTCAATGAGGTGGAAGGCAATTCCAAACAGACAATAATTTTATTTTAGCCCTGCATATCAACATGTCCTGCCCTCATATGGAAAAGGCTACCTTTACAAGGGGTCCAGCCTAAATCCCTTTGCAAATGCGTATTTTCCTTTGCAACAAACAAAATGGCAGAGTTGAAGTGAGGATCGTCACGAAGGTCAGTAAACATTACAATATTTTTTATGATTCTTATATTAAAATCAGTACCAAAACCCAACCTTTCGGTGAAACATTTATTCTTCTATTTTGGAGACACTTTCTTAGATGTTCAAATCAAATACAATAAATTCTATTGAAATAAAACCACATGCCTTGCGAACTTGGATTGATACTGATGAGGGTACATGGTTTATTTTATTGCCGAATAAGTGCCAAGTTACAAATTAGAGAAACTCGTCACATAGACTACAACAAGAATTTTTATGGAAAGATTATTTTCTGTGACAAAACGACAATAATTTGTATAATTTTTCAAGATTAAGTTAGTTTATGAAATATTTTCAGCTTTACAAAAGGCAAATTCAGAGATGACAAGAAAGTGTGATAGACAGACAGACAGATTGATGAGGATAAAAACACTTTTCTTTAGAAAGTTAGGCATAAAAAAAGTTATCTCTCTTACCCATTAGAATCTCTTTAGTCTTATCGAATATTAGAATCATTTTAAATATTTTTCTGTGCATGATGCACAAATATATGTGTAAAAGGAAATAAGCTTGTTATATATAGTATAAATTTACAAAAAGAAATGATCAATCATTATAACCATATATGTACATGTACATGGCTCAATCTATCTGCATTAAATGTCTATGGTCAAATTAATTATTCCTTAATTTAAGATGCAAAGAAACATCAACAGGTCTAAATAATACCAAAATTTTAAATAAATCCTAATTTAATTTTTAGATGAAATAATCATTTTCTTAATTAAGTTCTGTTAACTTAGAATACACAGACTTACCCGGTACTCAAATGAATTAATAATAATAATAAAAAATAATAAGGAAGTTCACCAAAATATTAGTATCTATTTTTATTCCTGATTAAAACAGTATCATGGTGGTTTTAAATATCGCAGTAAGAGTCAGCTTCAATCAGATATTTTGAGTGTCACCTCTGTGACTGATCAATGACTACAAGGTTATGTCATAACCAGGCACTATTATAGTCTTAGATTTGAAGTTTAAAAAAAATAAAAATGTTAAGTCACTTTAAAAAAATTAAATATAGTCTGCCATTTAAGAGGGCAGATATTTTGAGTGTCACCACTGTCTAATCAATACTGGAATCCAGACCTGTTGAGAATGTATTAACATATGAACACAAGGATAAGACTCAATGCCAAGAGTCACCACAGCAACGAAAAAAAATCAATATTCCCCACAGCCGAAATTGAAAATGTCACATCAAGATGTCATAAAATACGACAAAAATTATCACCTGTTGATATTTAAAATATACAAAATAAGGAAATCTTAAGAAAAAAATAAATCAATAAACTTCTGATTTTCAGAACATTTGCAGGAAGATTTTCCATGAATCTTCCGAACAAGATAAATGCTTTCATTGTCAACGTCACCATCATCAGCCGAATTTGGGGTGACGATCGATCGAGAGCTTACCTGTTTAATTAAACACTAAATTAAAATTTCATTATTTGTATAACATACAAAAAGTATAATGCATGAAAAAAATCTCAAATAGTCTTACAAAGATAAAATCTTATCAAAATACAACGACTGATAAAATTTATTAACACACAAGGGGTGTGCTTACAACATGGAACAGCCTGGGAGCCTGAATTTTGACAATGAAATCGTTACCATTTACCGTAAATTAAAGGTAACCTACCTTGTCTCATACCTTTACCACAATTCTTTCATAAATTAATTGGTACTTACCAACTGCTATAGGTACTTTTTTGCTCCATGACAGCAGTTCTTTTCTAAAAGCCCGTCGTTCCTGGCTGCATCTTGAGTTCCCACAGTCAACCATGTTTCATTGTATATACTGTGACGTAGTACACATTCGGGAAGCACAGCTGTGACGTAGTTGGTACACAGGTGAAAACCCAAAGCAGGTACCCTCAGGTAAGATATCAGTGCCTTATTTGGTAAATTTGCGTTATCAAATCAAAATAATAGTAGATGTTCTGATGAGCATGGCAGACTAATTTCCGCAACATCTCTATTTGTCAGTGAGTAATTTTGCTTACTTTCACTTTCGCCTGGACTAAATTTAGAAAACATAAAACAAGTACATGTTCACGATGATGTAGGGAATAATCCTATTAAAGCTGAGTATTATTGGGTGTGGTGTTTTATTTATAAGTATATTAAACGTAATATAGCACACAGTTTTTTTCAGTCAATAAAATTATGTAGATCTATCAGAGTAGATTTTTTTTTATATTCATAATAAAGAGCTGTCTCTCTTCCATAAATAATATAATACACACACATATAATACACACACACAGATTTAATTATTTACTATATGTCTTGATTTATAAGTACATATACCTGGATTAAAATTATCATACTTCATGATGGTGATTACGTTCTAATCTAAAAATTGATGTCAGAAAAATTTTAGCATATGATTAATAGGGAGAGAGAGAGGCTCGATCATGCAGAATAATTGAGTTATAATGGATGTGCATCAGATGTACTTGAGGGGGGAATAGTCTAAATTGTAGCTCCTTATTGGGAGGGGATCAAGGGAAGGAGGGGGTTAAATGGTAAGAGGGGGATGACAGGAGTAGAAGAAGTGGGGGGGGGGAGTGTTTTGGATTGGAAGAAATGGGAGAAGGGGTGGGAGGTTGCTTTGGAGAGGAGGAGGAAGGATCAAGATCAGACAGGCAAAAAGAGGCATGAAAGATGGAGAAAGGGGGAGGAAGAGGGTACCTCCATCCATCCCAATATAGATTGGACTGACTTTTTGAAGAATTGTTGTGTACCACTAAAAATATATTGTATACTAAGTAAAGATTAAATTGAAGTTACACAATCAGATTAACTATAAATGTTTATACATGTATAAGTGTTCATTTTTGGCAAAGAGAATCTATTATCATGACATTTATTTTAGGACAGCAAAAAAAGAAAAAAAGAATCCACAAAAGATATGAAGGGAACATACCACTATCCAGATGGCAGTGAATACTCAGGTGACTGGCAGGAGGGACAACGTCATGGCTACGGAGTCATGAAGTTCCCCGATAGTTCTCAGTACTTCGGAATTTTTGATAATGGTCTCTGTCAAGGGACTGGGGTCATGATATTTTCAGACAAATCCAGGTAAATATTTATTTTAAATCACATCTTCAAATGTTTTTGTTTCATTGGTATTAAAGAGCTATATAATCCTTCCATAAAAATGGTGTAATTTTGTGTCTTCTGGGTTCAAGAATAGGCCCAAGAGTTGGTTCAGATTGGTCATACATACATATAAATGTATAATTTCTTTACTTTTAGGCATCCAGCAGGCAAACTGTTTACATAATGATAATGAAAAATATTAGTTCTCAAATCTCAACCTAAAATGTGAAATCCAAGTCCCTAGATCAGGATTTATACACCTGGGAGAGTCTAAATGGTGGTCATATATTGAAAATTCATAATAATACTTCAATTTTTCTTTATGCCTGAACATCCAGGAGACAAATTATTTTCATGGTACCTGAACTGATGAATAGTTAACTCTTTACTGAAATTGTAAAATTCAATTGTCTAATGGGGTTCAGGATTAAAGCATAAAGGGCTAAGTTAATCAGCATTATATTATGATTATATATTTATAAGGACAAACACAACATACTGGTAGTTTTGAACTTTATTTTCTTATTTCCTGTATAATTGAAAAGTTCCAATTCCTAAAAGACCTTTGTGTGACTTTTATAATGCCTAAATAGAATGATGATTTCCATCTCTTCTATTAAACAAATTTTGAGGAAATACCAGCTAAAACTATATTTCTGTTAATTTTTCTTTAAATAACACAAGGATTTTCATCATTTGATATCTAATCAAAATCCTTAGTAAAGTATGCTGATTTTTTGTCTAAGAACATCTGATGGAACTATATATAAGATTATCTTGAAAAGTTATCAATGGGTTAAGTACGTTGTAAGGTATACACAATTATGATCTTAAAAGAAAACTTTACTTCTGAACATCTACATTGTACATGTAGGAGACAAACTTCCATCATGCAGTGTGATAAAGAACAAAGGGTCATCTAAATTGTAAAATTCATGTTTCATGGATGACCAGAGTCTCTAAGTTTAAGTCCCATGTGGGACAGAGTTGGTCATAAATTGAGAAACTAACGATACCCAGGTGACGTCCAAGTGCTGTAGGCCTACTGAATTATATATGAGTCTTAAATTGTTTAGCAATGTTGAACTTTATGGAGTTCTATTGAAATTAAATCTAAATTTGTGTGGTTGACTAGCTATTTATGGAATAGCTATTTTTGGAATCCAACTTCTGTATTTGTTCTTAATGTAACCAGTATTACAAACTTCATAAATTCACTCTGGCAGTTATAAATGATCAGTATTTAAAATGAATTCTTTATTTTTGAAGGTATGAGGGTGAATTTCAAAATGGAAAGTTCAACGGTTATGGCATTTTTACACGATCTGATGGAATGAAGTATGAAGGACAATTTAAGAGTGGACAGATCTGTGGATATGGTGAGTTTAATTTCTTTGTGGATTATAAATAAATACAGTAAAACATGCTTATAGCGAACACTCTGATAATGAATTGACACTTACAGTGAAGCGATTTTCATTCCCTGTAGCTTTAAAATATATTGTGAACTTAACAGATATACTGGATTCTGGAATGTATTAATCAGGAGTTAATTTAAGGGATATAAATTTCCTTAAAAAAGCTAGGGGGATTGATATTTTTGCACACAACTTCGTATCAGAATTGATAAGACTAGGGACTTTATGACTCTTTGCAGGGCTGGTGACATTTGCTGACCAGAGTCATGGGCTCCCAAGGAATGAGGGATACTTTGAGGGAAACAAACTTATGAAAAGGGAGAAATGTGCAGGGGCCATCCAAAGGGCCAGACAAGCTTCTGAACAGGCCAAGTCACATCAAAGATTCTCCTGATTTAGGAGCACCTGTCCTGTATAGATTGTTAATTGTATACTTGTTATAGGATCCTCATTACTTATATTTATCATTTAATACATGTTAATACATGTAATACAAAGGAACCATATATTTTAGACAATGCATAGCTTGTACAATCTTTTAATATTTTATATAATATCATGTTTGTTTGTTTGTTTGTTTTTTACTGATTGTTATATATTTTGTACATTGGCATTTTTTCAAGTCTTTGATATTCTTCTGCATATGATTCTAACTTCATCAAGAAGTTCAAGATTACATGTATTTCTTTTATCTGCTGATGTACTAATTACATTGATTTTTGTACTTAATCAGTTTAAAGCTGTATATATATTATTGGGTTGAATAGACCCAATCAGAAACATCAAAGTATGTTAGTATATTTGACAATATTGTAAAAATTGATCACATGGTTATCCTAATCTATTATAAAGAGCTAGATTCACTTTATGGATAAAATGGCCTTGTCCTTATATCAATTAATTGACTATCACCCTCTGTCCCATTTCATATATCAAAATAAAGTAGAGACTTAGCGCTCTCATTTCCTGTAACAAAATTTCTTTTTAAGAATTCAGGTACTGGAAAACAGGCTATGTGAAAATGCAATGTTCTTGAATTTTGCCGAAAACAGGCATATTTGACTACATTCAGGAAAGAATTAAAATATGAGCACAGCCCTAAATCCAAAAAGGAAAACATTTTTTATGATCTTCAGAAACAGATCTTTCATTATGTAATTGCATATTTTAGATCAGAGGTTGTGCTCTATATGGAAGATTGAAAAAATACTCCAACTTTTGACCATTTTTAAAGGAATTTACAAGATATGGTAAAAATGACGCATTTCATTACGTCATAATGCATTGACTGTAGAGAAAATTACGTCATGTTCAATAGATACACGGTCACCAAGGGTCCAAGTGATAAATACTGCATTGTCAATCAAAATTTAGCAGTTTTGATTTTTCAGAAACTCACAGGGCCAAAAAAGGCCCTAAGTGGCCCTTGCTCTTTCTCATTGACAGTGTTATTTTTGTATAGATATATCCTGTGCTTTGTTAACCCATAAAAATTAATGCTGGCTGTTATAGCTGCATTTTAACTATATCAGATATATATGTCAATTCAAGATCTCTCCATGACAGCAAGCATAGAAAACTACACATTCTGAAGTTCACATTTCCTTTATTAAATATGTATGCATTTTAATTGAAAACTGCAAAAATTAATGCCATTATCATTTTTTAAGTATACATGATCTGGTGCTATTGAATGGTAAACTTTAATAGAAAAATTCTGAAATGATGAATAAATACTTTCCTAAAAACTTTACAAAGAGTTTGGATTTGTATTGTTTTTATTCTTATCATTTTTAGGGATCACTTAGGTAACAATAGGCTGAGGCCTCTAAAAAACTGTGCGAAATGCAGAAACTAATGACATCAAAAAGTACACAAATTTTTATTTTTACCCATTGTTTTAATTTTAAAGTTTGAAAAATTTCTCAATTTTGAAGGTTTAATTTGATGTAAATGACAAATGAATATAACAGAACATGTTGTTTTGTCGGAAGTTTGGTACCGTACCTTGTCATATGTTTTAAAACATAGATAATTATAGCAAGTTTGAGCTTAGAGCAGGGCTGCACTTAAAAGGGGGGGGGGGGGGGGCAAAAAAAAAAAAAATTAAAAAAAGAAATAATTTTGGTTCACTGATTCTTTTGAAGGTTTTTTTAGCTCTACTGGTAAGAGACAAGAAGAACTTATGCAATAGTAAGGTGTTCCTTGTCCAAGCTTATTCCAATATACAACATGGTACACACATAGACTACACTAAGAAACATAATTCTGTATATTCGTTTTTTATTTCAATGAACGATGTTGCCATGGTTACTAAAAATAGATATTTCTGTGAAATTCTTTTAAAACACTACTCCTCCTACAGTTTAAGTTAGATTTTAGTATAACTTGGTACATGTACATGTATATTATTTTAACAGTAACTTGATCCGAAGAGCCGTATAACTTCAAGTTGACAGGCGCAGAGCGTCTAGTTTTGATCTGATGATCCGCGCCTGTCAACGAGACGTGATCTACGGCTCTTCGGATCAAGTTACTGTTATAATGATAAATTTATTATATACCCCTTTACAACTAGAAAATATAATAAAAGGAAACTTTTTGGAACAATTACATGACTTTTATCCATTAAATAAACCATTTTGTCGAGGAACTTTTTGATGCAAGAGAATAAAAACGTCATTTATCTGTGTACTACGTCATCAGTTTCAGAGAGGGGTGATGAGGATTCAGAAAACCACAGTGTGGTGTTCCGGGACGTCAGATCACACCGTTACGTGATTGCATAAATTCAAAAGTAAAACTGAGTGACAAACAGTTGGGTATATAATAAATAAGTAGACTACACTTAGATACATAATTCTCTATATAGGTTTTTGATGTTGATGAACAGTTTTGCCAAAGTTACTAAAAATAGAATTTTTTGTGAATTTCTTTCAAAATGCTACTCCCTCTACAGTTTAAGTCTGATTTCACTATAACTTGGTACTGATAATGCCATTTATCAGTTTTTGATTTTGATGAACAGTGTTGTCATGTTTACTAAAAATAGAATTTTTTTGTGAATTTCTTATAAAATGCTACTCCTACTACAGTTTTTGTCCAATTGCAATTAAACTCTACTCAGAAAGAGAGTAAACCATGGATCATTATTTTATTTATTGCCGTTGCCAAAGTCTCAAGTCTAAGTGCTACCTTTCTCTACCTTTATTAATTAAGTAAAAACCAGTAGAGCTACAGTCTCCTCAGAGACCTCTGGTTTAAATAACTTTACCCTATTTCACTTTGTTAGATTATCTTTCCTTGAAAAGGTCCCTTCATTTGAAGATTAAAGTGTAAAGAAACTGGGGGGATAAGCCGAGCCATATGCCTACATAACGATCGATAAAAAATCAATAAATTCATTTTACAAAAATTTCACTTTTTGTTGAATTAATGTAATGCTTATTACCATTTGCATATAAATTTGACAAAACCTGAATACTGTAACAGCGAAAATGATTCTGATCAACACAACAAAATAGCATCACGCTCAATTTTCAAAGAAACTGACATAAATTGGATGATATAACTACATTTTTTAAATAGAGTGGGTCATCGTACCATTTTTTTGAGAACGATTAATGAAAGGCAATGGAAAGATGTTGCTTTTTACACTTGCAAAAATTTGGTATGAAGACCCACTCTACATAAAAAATTAAGTTAACTTACTTAAATTTTCACCGTGGTCTTAAAAAATTCTAAGTCCAAAAACGCTTGCTAAATATAGAGAACTGTATGCTATTTAATTGGAAATGTTAGTGTGACTCCGTGGTCTAGTGGGTAGCGATGAGCTCTTTAAAGGGACGTTTATTGAGGAAAGTGTTCGAGTCATGCTCTGATTTTTTTTTTTTTTTTTTTTTTTTGATTTTTTGGTCTTAATTTTGTTTTACTTTATAAAAAATGTCTATAGGAATAACATATTTTTCACTGGAAATAAAATATATACATGTAGTAATGAACTTATTTACAGTAAATTATTTAAAATGCCGGATAAAAATTATAATAGATATTTGAATACTTTTATTCCCGTTTTATTTATTTTAAATAAAAGCGCTTCTAGATCACCATTATCATTATATACGATGTTAACATTTTTATAATATCTCCACAATAAGTGTAAAAACTCAATATGCAGATTAATTAATAGAAGTCCTTACCCATGTTAGACATTTGTGACAGTAAATGAAAGTCAACTGTTTAGCTTGTTTAGAATATAAATATCATTTTGAAAACTACGGTAAACATTAAAATGCTTAAGTAAATTCGAACAATTGAGAGATTTTTTCCAATAAATGTTCTTGCATAGCCGAAAAATGGGCATGGGCACCTGGCTCGTCTTATCCCCCCAGATTCTTTTACAGATAAAAGTGTGAAAAAATAAAAAGTGTCCAAGTGGGACTAATACGCTTTACTTCCATAGAATATTATCGGAAAAGGGGCTGTCCACTTGCATCTGAAGTCCCAAGCACTAAAAAAAAAGCCACATATTCATTGCTGTTTTCAAATGTGCATCAGTCTAAATATTTTCTGCTTCTTTTCTAGACCAGCTGAACCAATTTTGGTATATAGTATACAGCATATTGTATTGGGTAAAGGGAGAAAATTGTGAATTTCATGGTGTCTGCCTCCCTAGAGCCTGAGGGATGGAACCATGCAGTCAAACTGTTGTCATGATTGTAATTAGCAATGATCACCTTTAACAAAATTGTGAAATTCATGGCCCCTGGATAGATTCAGATTTCATGGTGGGGCTTAGTTGGTCATTTTTAGAAAATACATATTTTATTTTTAAATATCATCTCCTTTACCCATGTAAATCTAGCAGTTGCATACTGTTTGATTGATTGTATTGAGTTTTCCACCTTTTACCAACATTTTGAAATTCATGGGCCTGAGAAGCCGAGTATGACAATATTTATCATTTTCTGGTGAATATCAAAGCATTTTTTAAACTACTCCTACAGTCCAATGTTATTTTATTATATTGTCCGGTATCGAATAAAAATGGACACCTAAGACTGCAGAACGACAAAATTTTCATAAATGTTGCAGATACATTTACCATGTAATGCATGGACGTAGGAACCGGGAGGGGAGGGGCAGATTACCCACATTTTGCCGATATATAGTACACTGTAGGAAACATAGCTACATGTAATTTGTGCTTGTGCCTCCTCAATGTAGCGCTTGGTAGCCCCCCCCCCCCAAACTAAAAATGCCCCCCCCCCAACTGAAATTGCTTCCTACGGGCCTGTTACGTCTTTGCTTTTCTTTTCTCATGGGTATTTTTTTTTTCAAGAAAGCTTCATCCAACAGATTTGCAAAACTTTTTTTTAACCTGCTCAGTTGCACCAACTGGTCCCAACCATCGCACCAATGTTTACAACGTTTGTTTGGCCTTTATGACGTCACAATCGCTACTTCACGAGCACCGACCCTCGGGTGAATATATGGCTTGACCCGATGAATATCGAGACGTTGTTAAACGTTAAATAGTCACAAATAGACTCTATATATAGAGATATGCAAATCCATTGCACATAATGTAAATATACTATGATAAAACGTTACATGTATATTCACCATGTTTTGAAACCGTATATTCACCGGAAGGTCAATGTGCGTGAAGCGGAGATTGTGACGTCACAAAGAACACCTCAGATAAGGTGCAATGTCCTAGCAATAAAAATCCAGAGCATCATTTTTCATTTGAGACTAACGCGCTAACCACTACGCTACACAGCTCCTGCTGAATAGTGGCATTTAAATTATGCTTGAAATGTGATTTTTGACTAAATGGACTTCAAGTATTTCTTGGAAGATGCGAATGTTGTGTCATAAAAGTGTATTTTTAAGGTATAGTGGGTCTTTGCTTCATGTCTTTGTTAACCAAAAATGTATATTTTTTTACGCAAACTTTGAGGATAAACTTTCAAAAAAAAGGGGGGGGGGGACGAAGACCCACTCATGTTGAAAAGGTATGAGAAAACGATCCCTTTTGCCCTCTTTAGTGTGTGTTTGCTATTTCATAGGCAATTAATGTTAGATGAAATATCAAAGAAAATTTAGTTATGACTGAGATTCAATTTTTCAACTTCATGTTTGTTGCACTATAGGCATTTCAACTCGCTTTGTTCGCCCATCTTCTTTGTTGATGACTTCCTATTATTAATAACTTTGAATCAGCTCTCGTATATGCCTCACTAGTCTTCTTTATTTTGTAATAATGCCATAAAATGTGTATAAAATTTTGTATTGATTTATACAGAAAATGGCAGTCTCAAATTTAAACACCAAATATCAATTAATTTCTTCATATTTTAGAAATTTATGTGTGTCATTTCTATTCAGAATTAGTCAAAAAATATAAACCAGCATATGCATCGACTTTTTTCGTAAAAAAGAAGAATGTTGATTATTTGAAAAATAAAAATTGTACACTTACAATAATTACTGTGACAAGATCTTTTATTCACTGCTTAGGATTTTATTGTCTGTACATTTCAAACTCTTCAGAATTATACATGTACATTTCGTTTATTTATTTACTCATTGCAAAAGGGTAAGTTTAATTTTATTTTTTGTACATGTCACAAATTGTAAGAAATGTACATGTACAAAAAATTATAATAAAATAAAAATGTAAAACCTGAAAAAACAAAACAAAACTACAAGCCATGTAATTTTCATCTAGACGGGCTGATATCGATCATCAATTCTCCTTTACACCTGGATGACCATTAAACTTCCCCAAATGAAGCATAAATCTATCATTTTTACACACAATATTTTGACATTATTTGAAATCTTTAAAAAAAATCCACATATCCAAGCATGAGTTATTAAATATATTGCTCATTAAAAAAAAAAAAAAGAAAAAAAAAAGAGAAAAAAACAACAACAACAACAAACAATTAAAAAAAAAACGTTGTATTCTTTATCCCTAAAATATTAAAGTTGAGAATCTCAACCTACACATATACCGATCATTACTACAATAATGACCATTTGAAGAAAAAAAACATGATTGGATGCAATGAAAAAGTTTTCTAGCATTGATCGGGAATTATTATTAATATCTCCATTTACAAATACTATATGCATTTTTCTTGAATAAACCTTTGTTAATTTAGATTTGAAAACTTATTGAAATAATGTAATTTTTTTATTTTAACTAATCACTTTTTGCAAAGAAAATGTAATTTAATTAACAAAATTTATGAATTGAAGTAATTATAATTTAAATGAAGACTTTAGCAAAGTAATTGTAATTTAATTTAATTACTTTGGTATGCTATTGACCAATCGCTCCTCGTTCATGTCAGTTTAAGTCTTATCTACTTGACAACACAAATGCGTGTTAGAGGAGATCAGAATGAACACACGTGTAACAGATTCAGTTGTTGATTCAGCCATTTTTAACGAATAAAAGCATATAAAATTGCATATTATTAAAGATGGAGCCTATTAACAGTCGGATAAGAATACAGAATATAGAAGACGAGACAAAACGGAAGAAGGTAAGGACTTTATGATGAAGCTAAGGCGAGGACTCAAAATTCCTGCAAAAACGTAGTATCTAGAGAATGGTAGACAACCCCGTTATATTGACCTAGATAGGAAATACATGTTATGTTTGTAAACACTATAAATTTATGCATCGGGTTTTACGAGGACAGATAAGCAGGCTTTCTTTACGAAAAGTCCAATTATCCTCCTTTGGGTGTAGGTACATACATTTACTGGACCTCTTCAGTAAATAGTAAACCTGTATAAGACATGTTTGGAGAACTAGATTTTCTTTGCAATAATAGGACGACACTTTCTCTTTGATTCCACATTTTATTATTGATCTTCCTTAAGTGCACCCATATTTGGTTATCCATCATCCAGGTCTATAATACCTTATTTTATTTGTTAAAATGTTTATTTTTTTAATTGACCATTGTCACATTTAACGCGTGTTTTCTCTTAGGCATCTGTAAGGAAATATTTAGGCACCCATCTGATAGAAATATCCATTGTCAGAAAAATCTATTAACTGTTGTGATGATGAAATATTTAATATCTTAGTTCTTTCACTACAAATCTGGTATTTTCAGATATCCTGTACTCACAGCATTGATATTTTTTGATATCCCTTTAGATTTCGACTGACCATTTAACTCTCCCTTTTTACTTCTGAATTTCTAAATCCATTTTAAGACTGCGCAGCGTGAAAGACTAGTCTTTCCACATATCAAAACCGTATCTTTCATATGGAATCTTCAGAATTTTTTATAATGAACGCAGTTTTCAAATACATTTTCACATACATCATGTGCATCCTCATTTTCATCTTCTTGGCAGACAAACTTTTTACGCAGATTTCAGCTCAGTGTAGTGACTATGCTTACTTTAAAAGAGAATTTCTTTGAGAAGACACTAGGAAAAAGCATGGTTTTCGGTGATAAATAGAACTTTTCTAATGTGAAAAAATGAAATTAAATGATCCTTCATGTATAATGATAAACCGTATGTTGCATAACTTATTGAACGACCCTCGTTGAATTAAAATCGCTCATACATACATGTATATGTATTTAACCTTTTTCTGACCTTATCAATTGATTTGTAGATAGAAGAGATTCTTCAGCCGCTTATCCTGAATGATGCAACCATTCAAAAGTTAATGGATACTTTCGAAGACCAGATTTCTCTTGCTAATACAATGGACCCAGAAAAAAGAAAACAGTCGAATTTGCTATGGGAGTGTACTTATGTACGAAATCTTTTAAAGGGGAATGGTAAAATTACTTTGATGTCTTAAGTTAAAACATGTAGTTGGAATCGAAATAACGTTAGAGAAGTGCTTTGTGATTAAATCCAGAACGACTCATATTCTTTCGACAGACGATTTGATCTAACATCGCACAGGTTATTTAATGTATCAAAATGTATTACTCGGTAGAGAACGTTGATTACATCTATATAAATCTTTATTCTGTAGGGTACGGTCATTACATCAGGCCATCTTTATTCAATTGTTTGTTTGACCTCTCCAGACCGACTGGCTAAAAATGACCCGCCTCGAAACATTTTTTAACCTCCAGGAAACGATTTATTTTCTTTTTATTCCTAAATTTTCTCATCCTGTCAACATGTTTGTTGAAATTTTCTAGGAAAAAAAAACTTTTCCACCTTCCTACCAACCCTAGTTTTTTTTTACCCTGAGTCGGGAGAGGGCAAACAAACAGTATTTTAAAGATTGCATCGGTATAGATCTTTATTCTGTAGAGAACTTTTATTGCATCGGTATAGATCTTTATTCTGCATGTAGAGAACGGTGATTACATCGGTATAGATCTTTATTCTGTAGAGAACTTGATTACATCTATAGAAATCTTTATTCTGTAGAGAACGGTCAATACATCGGTATTGATCTTTATTCTGTAGAGAACTGTGATTACATCGGTATAGATCTTTATTCTGTAGAGAACTGTGATTACATTGGTATAGATCTTTATTCTGTAGAGAACGGTCATTACATCGGTATAAATCTTTATTCTAAAGAGAACGGTCATTACATCGGTATTGAATTTTATTCTGTAGAGAACTGTCATTACATCGGTATTACTCTTGATTCTGTAGAGAACGGGCATTAAATCGGTTTAAATCTTGTATTATTATGTAGAGAACGGTGATAACATTTGTCAAAATCTAGTGTTATTTTGCAGTGAATTTTTTTAATGGTGATTACATCGGTATTGATCTTTATTCTGTAGAGAACGGTGATTACATCGTTCTAAATCTTGTATTATTCTGAAGAGAACGGTGATTACATCGGTTTTGATCTGTATTATCCTGTAGAGAACGGTGATACATCGGTATAGACTTTTATTCTGTAGAGAACGGTGATTACATCGGTATAGACCTTTATTCTGTGGAGAACGGTGATTACATCGGTATGGACCTTTATTCTGTAAAGAACGGTGATTACACCGGTCTAGATCTTTATTCTGTAAAGTACGGTGATTATATCGATCGGTCTAAATCTTGCATTATTCTGTAGGGAACGTTGATTACGTCGGTCTAAATCTTGGATTATTTTGTAGAGAACGGTGATTACTTCGGTCTAGATCTCTGTATTATTCTGTAGGGAACGGTGATTTCATTGGTATAGATCTCTGTATTATTCTGTAGAGAAGGTGATTACTTTTTTCTGTAGAGAACTGTATTTACATTGAACTTTCTGTAAAATGCGGCGATTACTAGTACATCGGTTTAGATTTTTATTCTGTAGCGCACGGGAATTGCATCGGTCTAGTCTTTGTATTATTCTGTAGAGAACGGTTATTACATCGATCTAGATTTTTATTTTTTTATTCTGTAGAGATAGGTGATTACATCGGTCTAGATCTTGGTGGAACAAACTTCCGTGTTGTTAGAGTCGTGATGAAGGACGGGGTGGCTAACACGACCACGAAGTATTACAACTTAGACGACAAACTTCTGTCGGGCCCTTGTAAATATGTATGTATGAAGTTTTACTGGTCTCTGGAGATAGAAACTAAAATGGCCTATTTAAGATCTAGTTTACAGTGTATGATTCCTACGTTGTATTAGGTGTTTGATCATATTGCTGAAAGTTTGGAACGGTTTTTACGAGAAGAAAATATCACAAAAGCTACTCCACTGCCTGTTGGTAAGTTGTTCTCAGCAAATTCCTAACCATGGGATTTTTATGCCCCGGTAATCGAAGATTCGGGGATATAGTTTTTGCCCTGTCCATCCGTCTGTCTGTTTGTCTGCAAAAACTTTAACCGTGCCCATAACTTTTGATTGGTTGGAACTACGGCTTTCATATTTCACATGTGTATTTCTTTTGACAAGACCTTCCTTTAAGCACCAACATATTTGACCTCTTGACCTTGACCTTGGAGTTTGACCCACTTTTGCAAAAATTAACAAACTTAAACTTGGCCTTAACATTTGAACAGTTGGTGCTAGGGCTTTCATATTTCACATGTGTATTCATCGTGACAAGACCTTTCCATGGGTGTAAATATTTTTGACCTTGACTCCCGAAGGGACGATCAAAGTTTTACATAGGAATATATAGAAAAAAATCTTCTCAAGAACAGCAAAGCCATGATTGGTTATTAATTATTCGGAAGTATTCTAAGGTAGTGTAGATTCATGTTTGAAAAAAAATCATGACCCCCTGGGGATAGGGTGGGGCCACAATCGATGATTCAAGTTATGCATGTACATTTTATTTATTTATTGCAAAAGGGTAAGTTTGATTTTATTCTTATTCCCCCGTATCGAAGATTTTGCCCTGTCCGTCCGTCTTTTTGTCCGCAAAAACTTTAACCTTGCCCATAACATTTGATTGGTTGGAGCTATGACTTTCATATTTCACATGGGGATTCCTTGTGAAAAGACCTTTCTTTGGGTACCATCATATTTGACCTTGGAGTTTGACCCACTTTTGCAAAATTTTATGAGACTCTACTTGGCCTTAACTTTTGAACAGTTGGTGCTTGGGGTTTCAAACTTCACGTGTATTCCTTCTGACAAGACCTTCCTTTGGATACCGACAATTTTGACCTTTGACCTTGGAATTTGACCTACTTTTGAAAAACCTTTACCTTCGCCATTACATTTGAACAGATGGTGGCAGGGCTTTTATATTTTGCATGTGTATTTTTTATAACAAGGTCTTCCCCTGCGTACCATTAATTTTGACCCTTTGACGTTGACCTTGAAGTTTGACCCACTTTTAGAAAACATTAACTTTGATCATAACTTTTGAATGGTTAGTGCTTGGGCTTTCATATTTACCAGGTATATACATTGAGACAAGTCCTTTCTTTGGGTTACAACATTTTTGATCTCTTGACCTTGACCTTGGAGTTTGACTTTCATTTGAGAAACTTTAACCTTTGTCATAGGCTGCTATACCATTGCATCAGTGTTTCACAAACACATCTTTTATATGACTGTTTCTGAGCAGACCTGTAGGATTTCTCTATAACATTGTTTCTGAGCATTTTTTGCCCATTCAAGTTTCTGTTCGCAATTATTAATTCCTAATTCAATTGTTATAAGTAATAAAATTCTTAGACATGTTGGTTTGATATCAAATACTTTTTAAAATTAATTGTTTAAGATTATAAAATATTTGTTCAATGTTTGATATTCTAAACTCCTTATTTATTTAGCTGTAAAATGTGCCCTAAGTGAGGAGAATAACTTTGATATCATTTTCACGGCCATGACCGAAAAAATTCTATGGATATATTATACTGTGTACATGTACATGTACTAAATTTCAGAATATACATACTGCCATTATTTGCACATCATCTAAAATACGGTTAAGATTTTTTAACGTACAATAAAAGAATTCATAAAATATTTTGCCAGCATCTGCGAGTAATTATTTTTTTTTACAGGTTTCACCTTTTCCTTTCCTTCTGACCAGAAGTCTTTAAAACACAGCATCCTTCTAACATGGACCAAATCTTTCAAATGTCCGGATGGACCAGGGATGGATGCTTGTGTTTTATTGGAAGAAGCTATTGCTAGGAGAAAGGTAAAATGTTAAGAAAATTCCTTTTCTAAAAGAATTATTGTATGGGGACACAAGAATAGAGTGAAAGAAATATTTAGTAAACTCTGCCAGGATATGTTCGTTGTTTATTTTCATACTAAGTAATTGCCTGTTAAGTTATTGTGCTTATGTTGTTAGCAAATCAGTGTTTTGAAAAGACAGTTTGTTATCATTGGACCTTTCTTCTAATTTTTACATATCTCAGGAAAAGGTAAAAACAGAATCGGATTAAATCTTTATCAAGAGTGGCATTCCTGACAAATTTATTTTACAGGATAGTATGCCAGTTGAGCTGGATGTGATGGCAAGAATCAGTGATACTACTGGGGCATTAATGGCAGGAAACTACGTGGACAAAAATTGTCGAATTGGAGTGATTCTTGGTATGTTAACTTTCACCTGAAAAGTGCTTGTACCTGTATAAACAGTTTGTTCATGGATTAGATTTTATTTTGTTTGATTTTTAGGGACTGGTTCAAATGCCTGTTTTGTGGAACATCTGGAAAACTATAACAAATTCAAATCCACTGATCCAAATACAAACCAGGTACATTTGGCAATATTTTATTTATCATATTTCTTGAATCATATTTCTTGAGGAAATAAATTTACATTATTATTATTATTATTATTATTATTATTATTATTATTATTATTATATGTGAAATCAACTCTTTTCTATACACAAGTACAATGGAGGTTCAGTTTCTTTTATATTATTTGTAGATTTTGGTTAATGTGGAATGGGGAGCATTTGGTGACAATGGTTGCTTAGATTTTTGTAGAAATGAATTTGAAAAAGAAGTGGATATGCATTCAAATCATCCTCACTCATATACGTGAGTATTGTTATCCCCAAGGTTAATTCTCTTCATGTTCTTCATTTCAAAGTGTCGTATTTTAATTTTTTTTTCCAAGTAAGTTAAAAAGTGTGATCCGAGTGCATTTTGTCCCTTGTGAACTCATTATTAAGCTGCTGGTCTTATGACTTTCTGTTTCTAATTCAGATTTGAGAAATCATTTGGAGGGTTGTACCTAGGGGAGCAGGTGCGATTGCCTCTCATCAAGCTAATAGAGGGAGGGTGTCTATTTAATGGAAAGTCCTCCCCAGAGCTGATGAAAAGATGGGGGTTTACCACCTCCAATGTCACTTCAATTGAAGAGTAATTACTGTAAATCACATTTTATTCGTGAGAAATCCTTTTTTCTTTTGCAATTAAGCAAGTCCATTTTAGGGCCCCGCAAGGATTAGCGGGTGCCCTATAGTAATCACTCTGTCTGTCTGTCTGTCTGTAATTCTTCCGTCCACAAATTTTATGTTTTTTTCTAATAACTTTTTTTTAGGGTTGACCAATTAACTTCAAATTTTGTATGTTTGTTGAATAGGCAGTTAGACATATTTTGATGCTAAGTTTGGTTCTCTATGTCATCCGGTTTGGAGCTGGGGTCATGGGGTAGATTCCTTAACTTTATATAAGAGTGAATGGGCAAAGAGATATAACTGCTGAGAATGTTCCTATTGTAAACTAGGAAAGGCTGCAATGAGTCTCTTGGGATTAATTAACTTTCCTCTTGAAGAAAATCCAAAGCAATATTTTTATCTGCCACATTGAGATTAGTTAACACTTCTGTCTGCAAATGAAGTTTGTTTTGAAGTTAAGGTCAATTCTGAATGATGTTTACATTCTCTGAAATGTGGATTTAAATAATGTTCATACTTTATTTTGGTAAAATACACAATGAGTTATGATTTTATTGAATTCTAAAAACAAGATATAGATAAAGATATCTTTTTTATTATTATTTTATTTTTTTTATTTTTTCTTTCTTTTTTTCTGCCTTATGTAAATTCAAATACACTATTTATTTTAACAGGTATTCAGATAATGACCTCATTCTATCATTACTGAAAAAGTTCTTATTGTAAACTTAGAAGAAAAGGTTGAGAGAGCAGTACCGGGGTATAATTAATCCTCTGGGTTTGATTATGTTGCTGCTTGCAGAAAATTTTAGAGGGCTTTCTTTCTTTCACTTTAAGTTTGATAAACAACTTTGTCTGCAACTGATGTTTGTTTTGAAGTTAAGGTCAAGCCTGGGTGATATTTGCATTCACTGAAGGCTGGCATTTCAGAAAACACATGCTTCATTCTTCTTTAAATACACATTTAATTGAGTTATTACAGATATGATGTTTTTTACTGCCTTATGGACAAGGACACTATTTACAGGTTGTTAGATATTTCGCAGTTGCTGTTGCTTATTCTTTTTCATATATTTTTAAATTTTTGTAATCAAGTAAACTTCTCATCTCCTAATCTGCACCCTTATATTTCTACCCCTCGGCGGGGCCCTTGCTGACTGGTCAGATTTCGCAAAAAATGAATTCTCATGTATTTTTGTATTATATATTAAAAAAGTTAATATAGAACAAATATAAAAACTGTTTGGCTTATAAATACCACACACGTATCTCACGATAAAAAGGTTTCGCAAAAATTACATCTACAGTATTTATCATGGTGTGTGTGTGTGTGTGTGAGAGAGAGAGAGAGATCTTAGAGAGATCTTATTTCATATACAAGTATATTAAGATCTGACGACAAGTTCCTCGAATATCTGATTTTGTATCTCTTTGTACTATACCAAAAAATATCATTATTGGTTTTTTTTTTATAACATCAAAAATTGGGAAATCAGCAATTCAATATATTTCCAATAGATAATATATCCTCTAGTATCTTGCAGAAATGCCCGGTAAGGTCCCCTATTTTTTGTGAGGAAACTTCTTAAAGTAGCAATATTTTAATCACAGAGTCTTGAGAAAAAATTATATTTTTGAAGAACGTGTCTCTGACCTTAATTAAAAAAAGTTTATCGAAATAAAGGCTGGCCGCCAGAATATCACATTTAAAAATGTGCTTTCATACAGAATTTGCATGAAAAATTATATTTTGCCTTCAGTGTTTTACAGGACTACTGTATGAATACTATTTTATAAATTACATCTAATATTATCAGGGATATTCTAGAATGCAAAGGAAAAACATTGCCGAAGAATGTTAATCTAACCAGAGTGTAAAAAAAATAATGGCATACAATAAGTATAATTGTATTTATATTTCAGAGATAATGAGACTTCGGAGAGAACATGGTCAGTCCTTCAGGCCTTTGGTTTGGCAGACATTGCAACAGAGGAGGATGTGTCACTTGTGAGAGAAGTCTGTGCCATAGTGTCGGAGAGGGGGGCCAAAATAGTGGCAGCTGGTAAGAAAGTGCTCATTAATTAAAGGTTATAGAGTTTATAAAATATTTGACAATATACATTGATATATGTAATCCGTAATTAAATATCCTTCCCATTTTCCTCCAGTATTAGCCGTTCTTTTGAACCACATACACTTGCCTGAAGTCACAATAGCTTTCGATGGATCTTTATATGAGAAGCACCCAAAGTACAGGGTCCATATAGCAGATCTATTAGCAAACCTAGTCCCAACTACAAAGGTAAATATTAATACATGTTTGTTAGTCAAAAGCACCAAATATGCTTCATTTATATTTGCCCTTTACCTATATTGGTCTGTAGCACAATTACAGAGACAATGTTAGTATAAGTTTTATGAAATAAATTATAAAATATACATTGGTCTTAATGATTAAGAGAAAACTAATGGTGATTTGTCTGGTACAATTCTTCATTAAGCTCATCTTCGCTAGCCAAGAGTTTCTGATCCGCTACTCTTCACACCCTTGGGTTTGTTAGAAGAGTAGTGGATCAGAAACCCTTGGCTCGCGAAAATGCATTAAGCGAAGTAACGTGAATTTGGAAAACAAGCGAAATACATATGAAATCTGTTTACATATTTTAAAACCACTTCATCTTCTTTTTCTTCTCCAGACAAAGTTAATTTTGGTTAAGGACGGAAGTGGACAGGGGGCAGCATTTGTGGCCGCTGTAGAATACAAACAGCCTTAAACCAAATAAGGAAATACACATGTACTCGTCAATCACTGGAAAGATACAACTTTAGGAAACAAATGTTGATGACAGTGGAACAACTGCTCTGAGAATGGTTTAAGAGGCAACAACCAAAATGTCAGTGAATGCTGATGAAGGCAATAAAATATATCATAATGACTATGATTAATGTCAGAGAAGCCGAACAAATAAGAAAAATGTTAACATTGGTACTGAACTCTGTAATCCATTAAAAAGAAATATGTCAAAAAATCCAGCATTTTCTTTGATTTTATTGTAAAAGATATACCTTCATTTGTATGTATGAATTGTATGAATGACTACCTTTATTCCAAAAACAGTCATGTGCTTGTGTATGGGGAACATTTTCCTACTCGATTCAAATTAAGAGTGACCGTGTCATAAGTGCCTCAATATAATGACCCCACTTTTCATGTAGAATATGTTTGAAATAAAGAGTGAAGTTTCCAAGTTCCACTAAAACATTTGTTTTTCTATCTGAACTCATATGATGCCTGAACTCTATTAAAACTCGGTAACGTTTCCACTTAACACACGAAAGAGTAGAAAAATGGGTATTGTACAATGAAAGTGAAACGGAATAGATGAATATCAAAGATTTGATCTGCTTGATTTCCTTGAAAAAAAATGTATTCTCTCTTAGTGTCATCCAAAAATAAAAATGAAGCAAAAAAAAAAAAGTTAATGCAAAATCCTCCGGCTTCTCACCCTTTCATATAAATAGGAAAGGACTTTTCGAAGCTATGAGCGTATAGGTAGGTCTATACACAAATGGAATTATGTTAAAAGTTATCTGCCAATTCCTTTACTTATGTTAAGGAATATGTTCAAACCATCCAGCCTCTAAAAATACCTTAGTTTGCAAGGATGAGCTAAAATAAGAATCAACCACCATAGCTACAATCTAGACCGCTGGACTGAAATGGAGAAAAAGGTGACACACAATCATATTAGTGTTCTGCAACAAACAATTGACATGTGTAATACTCTCTTGATTAAATCATTTTTTTAACCTTGGTCACAATATCTGCGCACTGATTTGAAATTTTAATGCTCCAAACTGTAGATTTCTTTTAAAAAGCCTTTCTAAACGAGTCACTCTGAGTAAATGAACTAAGACTTTGAATTGCATAAAAATGAGTCATTTTTACAGCAAAGTGTTTATGGGTTTGTCCGTAAAATATGTGTCCTGAATATTAAGTATTCACCATATCAAAACATCTAGGCTTCGGAAACATTATGTTAATGTGTAAGACCAAGAGCTCTTCAGACCCAGTATGACCATTTCATTGTTTTAAGTGCCACGAAACAGATTCAAGCAAGGAAATGTATTATTCGGAATCTGCTTAGAAACGCTACATATATAACTTGAATATTTTGACTCAATAGTGTGAAACGTACCGTCTCAACAGCTAGGACCTTTCTAAACATGTTACGTGTAATGCTTCCTAAATGAAACAGAGAAGTGCCAAAACACAGGAAAGCAGATGGAATATAGACGGTGACAGAATGTCATCTTTTGCGAAACATTGACTTCGCAGACAAGAGATGTTAGGAGACTAGGTAAATATGTGTTGTTTCATTAGAACAATGCAAAACATTACTTATAAGGGGAAGTTCCAGATACTTTTCATAGATGAGGAATAGGGATTTCTAAGGTAAAATTATGAAGTTAATTCCTGGTATTTGCACTTTAGGCAGTAAACAACACCAGAACCCTTACCCAAAAAGTAGCAACTTCAATGCACTTTTTAACAGATCTCTGGTTCTTTTGCTTTTGGGTTTTTGAGTGAAAGGAACTCAGCAGTTATGCATATTAACATGCATACAGACCAATGGACTTAATGTCGCAGTTCTAATAACACTTTTGCTTGTAATTTATTCGCATGTCTGAACAACTTGAAATATTTTACTGCCGCTTTTTACTTATTTTCTTGGAATCAACCTAATGACACGCAATTTCCAATCCTTGTTATCTGGAAAACAAATAAAAACTAGAAACTTTTGCTCCTTCATTGTCACAGGATAACAAAGACATTGTTTTTACTGAAAGGACCATAGATTATACAGTGTTGACACGTGACAATTGTTTCGGTTGTTATTGTTGGGTAAGACGAGAAGCTGACACGTGAAATAAATTTTAAAAAAATTATTTCACATTCAACGGAAAATTAATTTGCCATATTTTTCTTGTGTAATCTAAGATCCGCCTACGAACTTGTAGATGATGCATGAACGTCCTCTTCGCCTGTCAAAGTCCGACCATTTACCTCATCAGATAATACAGACAGAATCACAGGTAAGAAAAATACTTCTCTGTCAAAATTCAGCATGTAATTGTTATTGACGTTTACAATAGTATAAACATTAATGCTGAAAATAAACGTTTGTTAAACCAAAGGTTTGACATTTGTAGTGCATGTACATGTATATGTTAGTTTTACAGGTAACCATTTAAGGAAATTTGAAGCGTTGTACATTTTATTTGGTTGTCTCTCTAAAACATTTATTTTCACGCCTATAAAACAAAGACGTCTGGACAGTTTTGTTTTTACCGCTAATTTTTTATTGATATGATATACTAGTAAGGCTAAATATAAAATATAGTTTTGATGAAAATTGCAATATTATGATTTTTGCAGATTTTTAAAAAAATGTTTCTGATCAATTATTTAAGGACAAGATGATAAATCGGGTGATTATCTTCACGGTCCTCTATGTATTGCTGATTAATCCAGGTACAATATTTGAATAACAAATTCCAGTAAAGTTACACACTAAATAAGATATATCTATAATTCATGAATTTTTATTTTGAATCTGTTTTTTTTTATACTTATATATAATAAAGTTTATACAAATAATAATTGATCAGTTTGAAAAACAGTCTATGCAGATAAGAAATGTAATAATTAGTCATTTCTGTGATTAGCGGAAGCTCTGTCAAGACAACGACGGGTAATTGGTGGAAAAGTGGCGGGAGATGGGGAATGGCCGTGGTTGGTCAGTTTGCATGGGAAAATTGTTACCAAAAGACTGTTTGGTTTTATTCCTATTGCTCACAAACATTTGGTGTGTGGAGGATCCGTCTTAAATGACCGATGGATACTTACAGCTGCACATTGTTTTTACGATAGGTCAGATCACTCTTAATAATTCAAAATAGTTCAAAATATAGTGTTTCCTAACTGGAAGAGCACTCAGTTTAAATTCATTTACTTTATTTTACACAACTACCGAGTTACTGAAAGTTATAATCTTGTTTCATCATGTTAATGAATTTATTACTTTAAAAAGACCTTTCAATACACAGTCGTATCTTTGAGTGTAAATGAGAATAATGGTAGGATGCCTTTATATTAGTCTAGATCAAATACCGGAAGTGGTATTTCGGTTTTCCTATTTTTATATTGTAGGAATGGTGGGTCAGAAAAACGCAAGGCATCGAACTGGGAGGCAAAATTAGCGTCTGCCTCTTTAAAATCAAACCCAATAGAAAAGATTAAAAATTTCCTGGGGAAGTTGTTTGATAAAGAATCTTGGAGATACTGGGAAGTGGACGTGGAACGCATTGTACTTCATCCTCTGTATAATGGCCAAAGTAAGACCCAGAGCTGGTGAGATTATACAGTGATGTAAAGGTTTAGTAATTACATTATAAAAAATACATTTTAAATCAAGTTGCTTTAGATAATCTCAGTATGTTCTACCTGAAATATTATAATATGCGAAAATGGTCCATTGTTAAATAGATGGATATTAGTTTAAAAAGAATTCACGAAATGCATGAAAAAGCAAATGACTCGGCAGGCAATTAAAACAATATAAGTATTCAATTTTGCATTAAAATTAAATTGATTGCCTTTTAATTTGTAGATTTTTGGGAACATGACATAGCTTTAGTGCGTCTTTCCCGGAGTGTCCCATCTGGACCTTCGTACGACAACATCAAACGGGTCCCATTGCCATCTGCTGATAATGCGTCATTTCCGGGCATTGGAGATGACTGTGTCATGAAGGGATGGGGTTGCAGATCTGGAGGTTAATGTTTCTTTTAGGACTGTAGATATCCCATTAATACTTATAATCTTCATGAAAAGGCATATGACAACTTGTACTTTACTCAACCCTCACTTAAAGTTGTTTTTGTTATGTAAAGATATGTTATCGCAGTGTACTTGAATCTCTTACAAAATTAAACTAAGGTAATATTTGTGATTATATAAGAAATATCTCTGTTTACTGGACATTTTTTTTAATTTGTTTTCTCTTCTTTATAGGTGCTAAGTTGTCCTTCAACGCACACAGCGTTTCCCTTCCGATTTTTGACAAAAAATCATGTGCGCAAATTTACGGAACAAGGGATATAGGGAAAAGAATATGTGCAGGTTTTCTAAGCAATGGCAAAGGCATTTGCAAGGCATGTAGAGAAAATTACAAATAAAATGTATTCAGGAAATCTTAATGATTGATAACAAGATATATTTTATAATGAAATAGGTGAAGACAACGAACAGTGATCGATCTCAAAAAACCTACAAATAATACAAATCTGTGAATAGAGCATAAAACACGGACCCTCTGGAAATTCCAGAGGTGGGATCAGGTGCCTAGGAGGAGTATGCATCCCCTGTCGACCCGTCATACCCGCCGTGTGCCCTATGTATAGATCAGGTAGACGGAGTAATACGTAATCAAATTTAGTATAAAACAAAGGCGTGTCAATTGGTATGAAATATGTCAGACAAAATATGACCCAATGATAGGCTGTTATTGCTAACAAGGTCATTATAACGAACATAGGCTTTTCGAAATGCTGACTTTAAACGAGGTTGTTAAAATATCTTACACATCAACTTATTTTTCAGTGGCCTACATCGGTTTAAAAATTGTTCGTACTCAGAAGATACTCTTAAGTATCGAATAAGTTGGGAGACAGAAAAACTTTATGCAGGTGCTAGTGGAATATTACTGCATAAATAAGGAAAGTTGAGTGAATGGAAAGGCTGAAGTCATCTCGCTTAGTTGTTAGTTGGTCCTTATCGTCTATATATAACATGAATGTCGTATCCTATACCAAGGTACCCAGTGTTAATTTTCTAGCCTTGTAATAGAAATTTATGCTATTATGATAAGGGTATTGAGATAAATATTTTCTTGATTTTTATGAATATTTGTTGTTTAATGCCATTTTTAATCACAGTCATTTGCATTCTAGGGAGATAGTGGTGGTCCGTTAACGTGTAGGGACAAAGATAACCAATGGATACAAGTGGGCGTGGCTTCATTTTCTAGCCGGGATAAACCCGGAAGTTATCCCGCTGTGTTTACACGTGTGTCGGCGTATTTGGACTGGATAAACAAAACAATAAAGGGATAAAGTTTCTATAGCTGTTGACTTCATGTTTAACTATCCGTCTCTGGAACGAAAACGAGAAGATACATCAAAATATAACATTTCAATAAAATTAATGCACAACATTTACAAAGAAAAAGTGATTTAAAATGAACGTTTTTCATCAATTCATGATTGAACATTTGATGCTTGTATTTGAGAAGTATATTAAACTTTGATAACACTAATTTCTATTGATATTGAAGTGATTCGAAGGTTTGGTTACTGTCTTACAAAATATATGAAATAAATTTTCTTTAAAAACATACTTTTTGAACTATCTCTTTTCAAAGCTTCCAATAAAGTCCCATAATTTATGTTGTGCAAGATAACACAACTGGAAGATAACAAAGGACCTTCATTAGGACTGATCTAGCTGTAAACATTAGAGGTGTGTAGTCAAATACACATAAAATTTCAAAGCTATAAAATATTCATTTATGATGATCTGAAAAAGAATACAGAGATGTATACAAGACGGTACTCAAAGAAAGACCCTCATTTTTCAGAACTTTGAAATTTGCCAGATAGTTTTGTATGCGTTGGTTTTGAAATTGTCAGACGGTGTTTTTAGACCCCGTGATCATGGAGTTGTTTTTCATTTATTCTCACCAAGAACTTAAACTGTATTTCTTTGGATTTGCATTGGTGATATCTACGTGTACCGCCACAGAAGAGTGCTCCAATTTCGCCACATTTAAAGCTGAATTCCAGACCAAGATGTCCGGATTGGAGAGTGAAATAAAACAACTCAGACAGTCGAATCATGATCTGACTGATAGAGTTGAGCGGCTGGAAAATTTGCTAATGGAAGCGAATTCGGAGAGTATGAGAATGACAGATTTGACGAGACATCATGAGGGCAGAATTGGAGTTCTGGAGGATTCAGGACATGATAGTTTGTACCTACATCATCCCATGAATCAAAACAAAACCAAGTTTCTTCACAAATCTATTGATGAAACTAGAAACGACCAACTTAGAATTAAGAAAATAAGTAAGGAAAACTTTAACCTTGTTACTTTGACAAAGATGATTGATTGATTGATTGTATGTTGTTTTACGTCCCATTCGAGAATATTTCACTCAAATAGAGACGTCACCATATACCGGTGAAGGGCTTCAAATTTTGACCTCTACTCGGCACTTACGGCCATTGAGCAGTGAGGGATCTTTATCGTGCCAACGCCTGCCGTGACACGGGGCCTCCGTTTTTAAGGTCTCATCCGAAGGACCCGCAACTTTCACTTCAAAGTGCCGAGCGCATGGCGAAGGAACAGTTGCTACCCATTTTTTTTCGACTTAGGTCAGTCGCGGCCGAGATTCGAACTCACGACCTCCCGATCACGGAGCGAGCGCTCTACCGACTGAGCTACCGTGAACGGTACTTTGACAAAGAAGGTATTTTTATAGCATTCACTATGATTACCGTCTTCCTTGGAAGACGGTATACAGAGTTGAAGTATTTTACAGTCTTCGGACTATTCACTTCCTCTCTTTTGTGATTGGTAGAAATTGTATGATGAGAAAAATTTCAATTATTTCATTGGTTGAAATGCTGTTCAAGGCAAGGGAGATAATTTTCTGTTGATCTTATTTTCGTACGACTTAACAATTTTTCAAGATTTTCAATCGTAAAAAAATATGACAAAACGAACAGTGGATATTGGCACTAATGAATTAGATTTAACATGCTAGTTTTTTTTTTATAGCAATTACGAAAAACGAGTCCATATTTTCATTGTTAACAAAATTGATCTTTTTTGCATGCAAGCTTTACAGCTTGTATGTATTCTTTTTTCCCTTTGTTTTGCACTGTCTTTCTAATCTCGGCAGCACTCGGATTCGTACCTCATCTACATATCACAAAGGTGACGGAATCAGCCGAGGTTTGCCGAATGATTTCAGCAGCAGAGTCGAAGTTTACGGAGACTGCCGAGCATCTGTTAACGTTTCACTTGGTAGAGCTTATGTCAGAAAAAACTAATGAAGAAATACAAAGCCAAGAAATTTCAAGAATTATACGGCCTGACAGGTTTAGGTCAGTTTAATGTTTAAGGTTGTTGCTAAAGACGGTAAGCTTTTTGAAAAAGCTCTACTTGTTGTATTTTAAGAAATATAACATATACCAACATTCCTTCTAATCAAATCATACCTTAGAAAAGGTAATAAAATATAAAATTACTATATACTTTCATGTAAAATACTTGAATCTGGTTTGCCAAGAAAGGTTTGAAATAAAACGCACTGTATGATTACTTTACAACGTGTAACAGTTGCCCGCGTGGCGCAGTGGTTAAGCGTTTACTCTAGAGTCGCGGAGTAAGGAGTCCTTACGTCGCGGGTTCGAATCCCGCTACGGGAGACCGTATAAACCGAGGTCCCGTATCGCATTAGGTGCTGACACGAAATAGATCCATCACTGCTCAATGGCCCTAAGTGCCGAGTATAGGTATGCAGTCCTCCACCGCCAAGTGGTGGCCTGGGGGTCTCCATATGTGTAAAAATATCAAACAAACAACGGGTAACAGTGTACATATTTCCAAGGTTCGTCATAGTTTTTGATATTTGGGCGTTTGCTGTTTTATTTACTCCATTGTGTAGAAAAAAGAAAGCAAGTTTACATAAATTGTTGTTATTTTTACATTCAGCATAATTAGAAAATGTAGCGCAATATGGAGAGTAACGATAGACAATGTGTATTTGCAGTACCACCAACGACCCAACCAATGAATGGGCCCGTCATCTTCTACAGTTATATGTCTACTCACAGTCCACCAAACCTGAGTCTTCATCACGTGATAATTTTTGATGTCAACCCAGTTAACAAAGGACATGGTTATCACAAAGATAACGGGATTTTCGAAGCGCCAAGGACAGGAACATACGTGTTTCTTTGGTCTATTTACACTTATCCAAGAGGTGCGATTGGTACAGAATTGATTGTCAATGGTCAGGTAATAGGTGGCGGGTTGGTAGACAGTCACCCTGATGACGGCGTCATGAGCTGCACAGGCGTCGCCATCGCTGTTTCTGCTGGTGACCATATATACCTTAGGATTTCACCCATATCCGTCAACTACATTTGGACTGAATCTGATGGAAGATCAACTTTCTCTGGCTGGCTTTTGCATTAAAAATCGAAAATTTCTGAATAAAATGCTGAAATTTCTTGACAAGCAAAAAAAAAAAAACAAAAACAAAAACACACACACACACACAAACAAACAAACAAACAAATAAAAAGAAAACAAAAAAAAAAACCCGTAAAAGCCTATTCCAAAACGTAAAGGAAAACCTATTTCGTGGTGGTGGTGGAGTCCACGTTTTCTAAGGGGGGGGGGGCAAAGTCATTTTTTATTTGCTTCAGTATATACTTTTAATAACTCTGGAAATTCAAGGGGGAATCCGCCCACAACCCAACCCCCCCCCCTCTAGATCCGCGCATGTATTTTGTCTAATGACTACAATCTAAATCTCAACTGAAAAAACACTCCATTTCCAGAATTTAACAAGCATGGATTTATTCCGTTAAGGTTATGTGTGAAATCTGGCTTCCAATTGGACAGCTTTGGATTAAGTAATGTTGATAAGTTATACATACCAGTATGCATGCAACAATTACATGTGAGCAAGGTCATCATAGCCTGAGAGATTCATGATGCACATATGATTATCAATGCCTATGGGCCTCTCGTTTAGGTAAAGGAAATATTTTTCATATTTTTTTTAATCATCATTCTTAGTTACAATTCATTTTAACGCCATCAGATTCGCTAGAAGCTTTGAAAGTTTACAGCTAAATATCAGATAATTTTCTATTTTCTACTCAGCCTTTGTTCACCTCACGTCATTCAGTTTGATATCATTAACAAAGGACATGACTATACCAAAAGTGGGATAGTGCATTATGTTTTCGTTTTTGATCAATTTATTTAAGAAATACGGTATCATTTTTAAACATCTATCGGGATATAAATACGGGTTGGTCACGAGATCAAATTCCATAAAGCCCGAAGGGCTGTATGGTAAATTTGATCTCGTACCAACCCGTATTTATATCCGATAGATGTTTTAAAATGATACCTTATTACTTATATTTACATTTGTGGCTTATTCATATTATTTATTAGCCTGATTATAACCTTTAACGCGTGAAATGTTTTATTTTTTCAAACTCAACGGCACAAGTTTGATCTATTGATTGCGCTTTGACCCTTTATGACGTCACTGAGAAATTACGTCGAACGTTTATGACGCGAGGAACCCGTGTTTATACAGATATAGATACACATTGCTTTTAATAGTGTTATATAAAGGAAAACATTTGCAAATGTAAATATAAGAAGAAATATACTAGTATTTGTCAATACAATGTAGTAACATGGTAGGTGGCGCATAAGCAGACAGTCATTTTTTTTGACTGAGTGATGAAGTGACAGTTACTTACTTCAGACCACTTCTACACCAGACTTCTTTCAGAGCTGTTTATCATGTTCTTAAAGAGTCTACATCTCCAGGTTCGTTTTGCAGTAAAATGTATACATGTATTGTATTGTGGAAACACCTCATATTTCTTCCCCTTTAAGAGGGTTGACGTTGTGGGTCGTGGTATAGAGTAACTTTTGTTTCATTTGGAATACCAGTATTTCGATGGCGTATGTTGTTATCTTTACTGATATTTTCACAGGTCTTTATCCGCTACATTATAAGGACAAGTGTTAACACAGAATATACTTTTTGTTCTTTTTGCTATTTTGGCCAGGTCATGAAGATTCAGCATTAGACAGAGAACACAAGATCTCAGTTGCAGCAGATTGAAAGGTATTGCCCTAGTATTTCATAATCGTTTATAGCATACATGCAAATGACCCTGGTTCAGTGTAAAAAAAAAAATTCTCCAGTGAAATTCTACTTAAAAATGATCAAGTATGAGATTCTAGCATGCCGTGAACCGGACGATAATTTAATGTGTATTACTACTAGTATATAATTTTACCATCCACTTGAGTATTTTCGAATGATTCGTGTTTGGTCACCATTCATCCGCTGGTTTCTATGACTATACATGTAACTGTGTTCGAATGAATTCGGGTCTGGTCACGAATCATCCACTGGTCTCCATGGCTATCCATGTGACTATCTTGAAATGATCATTACTATTTGTTCTCCATGACCATCCATGTGACTATGTTGGAATGAATTCGGGTCTGATCACAACTCATCCGCTGGTCTCCAGAAGTAATTGTAAATAAGACATTATAAACAGCCACAGAAAGAGGACAAAAGACATCAAAAACAAAATGCTCTGATAAATTTAATATCTTATCTAGCTAAGTTATCTTAGCATGTAATATTCCAACTGTTATTTCAAGGTCAATTCGACAATAATGATTGAAATCATTTAGAATGGGGTATACAAATTCAGTTTAAGAGATGATTTCCAAGAAAGACAATTCATGTATTCGTGCAAACACTCCTTTATCTTCACTGGGAAAAACGATTTATTTTCATGATTAGAGCATCCGATGTGTCACAGATATATTTCACAAATAAGCATTTTGTCAACATTTATTAGTGCATTGATTGTTAATGCATATTGCCTATACATTATTGAGACTCCGACGTGACTGTGAGGTTCTTATCAGTCTCTCACAAACATGAGGTTCCGGTACAAAATGGATGGTGCGGAAACAAAGGATACTTGTCCGGAAGTCGGCAGTTCCTCCATATAGCATATAATCCTCTTCCGGGCCTGGAGTCACAACAGTGAAATCCCACTTATCGCCTATACGTTTCGTGAACGTTTGCTCCCCAAGACGAATAGTTTGTAACAATGGTGAAATGATACGGAATCTTACGTAACTCCGCGCAGGAAGAAATCGTTTCTTCGGTTCGACAAGCGTTATCATAAACTGCTGAACAACTGGGTATGCTATAGGAAAGGGCATATAGGGTATGTAACCGTGTTTACATGTAATGAGATAGTGAATAGCGGGAAGGTCTGATCCATCAGGCATTTTTCTGGATATGGTCAGTTTGTAATTTCCTCTTTTAGGCATGCGCGCTATAGCGACGATTGATCGAGCATCGGTTTGAATTAGTACGCTGTTCACAACCTCATCAATGTCCTCTGACGACTGCAGTCTAGGAACTATTTCCATTGACTTCCAGACCGGTATGTACAGGTCGATTTCTCCACAGGATGTTTCATACCACCACTGATATACGATTGCTTTTTCAAACCCTATATCTTTGTAATAAAGCTCAGGACCCCAGATTCCATGAGACGGAAATAGCTCCATATCTTTAGAAACTTGCAAACACTTCACAATGTAAGTAGCCACTTTTCCAAAGTCGTTTTCTTTAGAAAACATCTTTGCATATATCCTAAGTATATACGTCGTGATGGTGGGAAGTTTGACCTTTATTTTGAGCCCATCATGTCCCATTCTTTCGGCCATGGTATACTGGTCATGGACAACATTGTCAAACTGGTAAATTTCTTCCATCTCACAAGAAATGTCCTCGATTGGTATGCTTGGACCACTGATTATTATGGTTGTCTCACTGATCACTTCTATCAAAGTATCTCCATGTGTAACAAGTCCTATACCATTTTCCATAGCATATTCATGCAAGATAGCTCTTCTGGAAAATGTTTCAAGATCCATAGGTTCCTCCACTAACTGCCATTGTTTACTAGTTTCTAAATCGTCGTTAATAAAAGGAAAATGTTTGACACCAAAGAAATCTGGATTTGTCAAGAAATAGAAGTCATTAGACAACCACTTAAATTTACCGCAATCGCTTATATAACCGGCATCCCAGGTACAATCCACAAATCGCCATTCATCCCCAATATGAACAACGTTCCATGCATGGTTTAAATCCGAGGATTGTAAATCGAACGCCACTTCTTCAATATTCGTGTCGTCTTTCCCATAGCCTTGTAGCGTTCTTACTGGTATTCCAATGGATCTTAAATTTAAAATAAAAGTTTTCGTATTATACCTCAACATAGATATTAAATTACAAGTATTGACAGGATGTTTTCAAGCTTATTTGATTAACTCACCTACACATTGCTGCAAATAAATTACAATAACCAAGATAACCGGCGCATTTCTTTCTTAGAACGTCAACTGCAGATGACTTTCCAAATTCTCGTGTCTGAAAGCCTTGAACGTCATATCTACGATTAACAAAAACATGTTGCACTTATTGAATTGTATCGAAGTCACACGTACTGGTGTTTGATTTCTTTATAGATATGACAGTCTGTGCTTTCATAAAACAGCTCAGTCCAACCTTATATTGGTAGTTATCCATCTGTGTATGGATTTAACTTTCTCTACTCTTTCGTCAAAATCACGAGTCAAATAGTCTGCAAGAGTAGCTACAGTTGCGCATACTTCACTGGGCGTCTACAATAGAGCATATGGAACAGTTTGGGATTGAATTACTTTTGACAATTAAAACAGAAGAAATTCCACTGTGAAGGACAGGGCTTCTATAATTCTGAAGAAGACAGCCATTAAAATTTTAAAGTCCGGGGCAGTGTACTATTTCCTTATTATAGGTTTCCAAAATACCTCTTTGACGTGCGCATCAATAAGTTCTAGTATTTCCGGTGCTGGCAGTAAATCGTCCTTGGATTTGGTATTCGGCCCCGGAGGTATTATCATATCTTCTTCGTTCTATAATTGAAAGCACAAGCATGTTACATTAATCCACACAATGAAGGAAATAAATTTGCCAAACACATAACATTATTTCACACGATAAAATAAAGACCAAGTAATGTGAGGCATTCTTTCAAAACGTAAAGCTATCACACACTGGTCCCATTCTGAAAGAATATGTAATAATTTGATTTGGTTCTTCTATGGACAGTTTATTAGTCACAGAATCACACCCATTAGGGTATCCCTCGATTCTCCAATCCTCTCTGTGGTGCTGGGCCAAGTTTTGAAAATGAGGACAAATTAAACTCTCTAAGATAGATAACTCAAAAATTGCTAAATTAATACGCTTCCATTATAACAGTTAATCCTCAGCAATGATTTGTCTCAAAACCCTGTTATATGTTCTGAATTTGATTGACTTTCATTTTTTTTATCTGCATCTTCTGTTAGAAATCAAGGAAATAATTACAGAAAAATTACTCCAATATATTGATTAAGTATATGGTACATGTAAATAGTTATTTCCATGTATTTGTCATATAAAATATTGCAGGAATATAACCAACTCAATAATTCATACAGTCAATCCCTCTTGACAGAGGTTCTTCATACATCAAACTTTAAAAAGTATTTGTTAACAATCTTCTGCTGAGGACTGCATCAGGGAGCTGACATAAGCCCAATCTAACAGACACCCTAAATCTGTTATAATCGGTGGAAATGATTTTCAAATCAAATATTAATAAAAACGTATTTACCACCTAACTGTGAAAGAAAAACAACAACGCCCGCCTGTCTTACAAACCACTGAGTAATAAAGTGGAAATGCTTCCTAGAGCAGTGACTCTCTAAGGACCTTAGCAAAGAAGGATTGACAATGAATCATTGAGTCGATTAAATTCCTGATATTTTATTTGACAAATACATGGATAAAACTATTTACCATATACTTAATCACCATTTCCTCAAGAAGTGTATTGAACTTTCTGAAAATATTCTTTCTAAAGAGAATATTCAAAAGGCAAAACAAAGGATGTGTGGGTATATTTTCCACACCGCTGAAATGTTTGATATTCGTATTATTACCAAGATTAGTGAGCATTCTTCTTGGAAATTTTTTCACGGTTGTGTCTAGTGTCTACCTAGCTTAGTTATAGCGTATACAACCAAAGGTTCACAGAATTTACCATATGGCATACAGTCCTCAAGTCATATCAATACCAATTGCATCAAAACCTCTTATACACATTTGACATGATAAAAAAAATCGAAGTAGTTTGCCTTTAAGCAAATAATTATATCTACAGGCTAGACATATTAATATGGTAGATACCTACATTATTTTCTATGTGAAGATTATATGCAGCAGATTTGATGCTGGACTTTTTCCAGAGAGCGGCTGCAATCCTCCTGGATCCCGATTGTTTAGATGGACAAGAACCCATGACTACTGTTTGTAACGTATTACATAAAGCATGAGTAAATGATCAGATGTTATCTTCCAAAGGAGTTAAGTGTCCAAAATTCTGAAAATCAAAAACTTTACATAAAAATAACATTTTGTAGAGGTTTAGCTCGATGTCCGAAAATGTCTTTAAACACACAAGTACGACTTAATTATAAATGGAAAATTATCTTGAAACTGTGAAACTAAGTTTCTCTGAATTTACATGCAAGAAAAGCGCCCTTCTCCCCATTAATACTTTTTAACATTTTTTTCATATACAAGTATCTTTTGAATTGCTTTCTGAGACATAAACAATGCATACAAAATCTTTAATAGGCTTTTAAGGTCACATTTCTCCAATATCTGTTTTGGTATCTCTTCGTCATATATCAACATATTCATAATTATTATCTTCTAATTTCTACACTGTTTTCAATATGACTAGAGAATTATTGTGAAAGGCGAGGGATTTCAAACAGGATTTTATGGGAAATACCATCCTCGGTAATTTTACTGTAATACCTTGTATAAATGAACATCAGTTTTTTAGGAAACTCGATAAAGAAGCAATATTTTCATCACAAATTCTTAGGAAAAATTATATAACTGAGGTACGTGTCACTTAACCTTAAATAAACAAAAACATCCTTGAAACACCTGTTACAAAAATGCCAAGATGATGATGTTTGTAAAACCTTTTTTAGGAAATCGTTTTCTTTAAACTCGATAAATAAAACCTATCCTAGAGCAGAAATGTACTTGTTTATTCAAATTAATCTTTTAAATTACTTTAACCTATCGGCAATTATATGGATTACGTACCAATAATCTACTTAGCATAAATACTACAGGGATTTATTAATTAAATACTTTGAAGAAAGAACAAGTATAATTAGAAAAAAAATCATCATCATCATGTACAATTTGCAGATAAACCGAGTTGTCTCTGTTTTCTTTCATTTTGTGCATTTAAGTCCGGAACAAAGATACTCTAGCAATTATTTATATAATCCTTCAGCAACGGGTCAGTCAGTTATTAAAATGATACGAAAAATAACATTTAAGTGGAATTCAAAACGCAATGCCCCCGCTCTCTATTTTTTTTTAAAGCAACGATGCCGTAATTGAATAGTCTTTGTTACAAACCTCATAAGTAAATAGGTCCGCGCAACTCACAGGGTAACATAATGGACGTACGGAAAGTATCTCCTTTTTTGTTCGCTCGGTTTAACCTGCTTATTCAATGGTGTACATGCACATTTTATGGCATTAATGCTAATTCAGCCTTAAATACTGTCCAGAGTGGAAATAACAGGCTGCCAAAATTCAGCATTGTGTTTAAATACATAGCAGTGATATTGTGGTGATTAACGAAGCAGGACAAGTAGACTATCGAAGTATGGGTATTTAATTAACGCAAAAATTGATTGAAATAAATGGAGGATGCAAGCTACATATATAAACATATTTTCTTACATTAAACAATGAAATCAGTACAGGTATAATTTTCTATTTATTATGCCCCCAGAGATCGAAAGAAGGGTTGTTTTGGCCACTTTTCTATTTGTCTGTGTGTCTGCGAAAACCATTCCCATAGGAACCGGGGGAGGGGGGCATAATTTTGCCGATATATTATATTACAATACTATAGAAAACATAGCTACTAAATACTTGTGCCCCTCAATAATAACATCTGATGTCCTTTTTTTTTTTGCTTGTCAAGGAATTTTGGTAGTTGATAGTGCCCCCCCCCCCCCCAACTGAAAATATATGGTTGTGCCCCCTCAAAGTGAAATTGCTTCCTACGGGCCTGAAATCATAAATAAGATAACAAACAATTGACTTGCTTTACTCTCTATGATACTCTGCGGTTATAGTCTTTGAGCAGTGAGGAATCTTCTACGTGCCACAGAGACAGCTGATGTGACGTTTTTAATAACTTCAGATTTTATTTTGGTCTATGACGAATGTAAAAAAGGTTAATACATAAGGTTGGAGATAGCAGTTGTGTTGGTGTGTGTGTGTGTGTGTGTGATAATTACCAAATATGATATAAACTTTTGTTCCCATGTAATGAAGGAAAAAATTGCAATTGAAAATAACAAGCCGAAGTTTGGATCTGATGATGCTTTAAAAGCCGATAATTAATATATACTTTTACAAGGATAATAAAGGTCTTCGATAATAAGGTAGTTTACCTATCTACACTGAGCTACAGCAGAGGCAACACAGGTAAGACTTAACCAGTAAAATAAGGAGTCTTAATCATTATTTCACTAATTAGTTCGTATAAAGTAGAATTTGCAATGGACATACTACAATCTAGGTTACAATACCTATGTACACTTAAACAAAAAATGTTCCCCCAAAAATGTAGGAGTGTAATGGACATTTTCTGTTGCGAAGTACAATTTAAGAAGAAAACGTGATTGCACGATTAACATGTAAATTGTGCTAAAGTATTTATCTTGTTTGGTAATGGAAACACATTTTAGGGGAAAAAATCTTAATTTTGCTTCATGTATAATTTTGGTAGTACAAATTACTGTGTGTGTGTGAAATGGGAAGGGGCATATATTAGCTTTTCCATAGAATCTTTCATGTATACGTACTCATTTGTTGTTTTTTCAAAACATCTACTAAAAGAAGTACACAGATGCACTTTAACCACATATATGCTATCACTGACAAAAATTACATTAATTAACAATAGTTTGTTATAGTTTACTATAGCAAATACTTTGATTTACTATGGAACTTTACTCTAGAATTTTGTTTTATATTTAGGACCTTAATATCTCTTGAATTACATACAAATGCTGTAAATTTTTTAATGATATGTGGATATACAAGTAATATTTCCTTTTCATATAAAAAAAAATGCATGTAAGACCAGAAAAAAATAAAATATAACAAATGAAATTCATAGTAAAGTGACTTTGATTTACTATAATAAAAAAAACTTTGATACTTTAGTTAACTATAACATGTAAACTATAGTTTACTGTAGTTTTTTTGTTAGGAATTTTTCAACTTATGCCAAAATATATTGTCGATTCTTCCAAGATTTGAGAGTTGAACGAAGTAATCAATAGATTTTGTATCTATTGGTCATAAAATGAAATTCATTAGGTATTTTCAACACTACTTAAAAAATATCAGATACCAATAAATTCAAGTTGTGTGTTACACGTAATATTATGTGGATGTGAGAATTTCACTATTAATCCTGAGTTGATTTATAAACATACTCAAATGAATAAGGAGAAAAAAGTGTAAAACCGCCTAAATTGGGTCATAAACCCTGAAATCCAAACTTATTTATGCTTTGTCTTCATAATTATCAATTTCATCTTAATCATAGTGTGAAATTCGAGGTGAGTTCCTGAACACCAGAAAGTATAAATGGTCAAATGGACCTCTTTCTATTACAGCATTATTTCCGAATTCTGAAATCCTTAGCCTGTCAGTTTAATGCTTGCTGTTTAAATGTTAGACATACTAATTTGGTAGATCTAATACGATCAATGCTACTTGGTAAAAGTTTGGATGCTATTTG